GAACCCAGGGCTCCATGCATAATGATTCACACGCTCTACAAATTCAGCCCAGCCCATCTTTTTTTAATTTTTAAAGTGTGTGTGTGTGTATGTTATATTAGTTTTTCAAGGCAAAGTTTCTCTGTGTAGCCTTGGCTGTGTAAGTGTAGGTTGGAGAACAACTTTGTCATTTCTCAGGAAGCTGTTCATATCTATGAGGCAGGGTCTCTCAATGGCCTGGAGTAGGCTGGCCGGTTGACTGAGCCCCAGGGATTTGCCTGTATCTATTTCCTTAGCCTTGGGACATGGGTGTGTCACTACATCTGACTTGCGGGGTATGTGTGTGTGTGTGTGTGTGTGGTTTTTCACCACAGGGTGTCTTTGTGTAGCCCTTGCTATCCTAGAATTTGCTCTGTAGACTAGCCTGACCTCGAACTCACAAAGATCCGCCTGCCTCTGCTGGGATTAAAGGTGTGCATCATCACACCTGGCTATATTTGGCATTTTTATTTGAGTTCTGGAGATTTGTAAGGCACTTTGCTTGACTGACCAAGCAGTCACCTCAGTCTGTTTATGTTTTTAGGTGGCCAAGACAGGCCTTGAACTTGAATATGCTGTGTAGAGAGAATTATTGGCTGTGCCACCTAACTCAGATGAGTCATAGTTTTCTGTCTATTTTCCTCTGTTAGTTGCCTAGGTGAGCCTGGAATTCACTTTGTAGCCTAGGCTGGCCTTGAATTTGACACCTTCCTGCTTCTACTTTTTGTAGTGGGATTACGGGCATGCGTCTTTAAGATAATTTTATTATTTTATGTTATTTTGCCTAAATGTATATGTCTGTACCATGTGAATGCCTGGGTCCCACAGAGGCCAGAAAAGGGTGTTGGTTATGAGCCACTGTATGGATGCTGGGAACTGAATTCAGATCTTCTGGAAGAGCAGTCAGTGCTTTTAACCACTGAGCCATCTCTCCAGCCCCCTGGTTTGAGTCTTTTTTTTTATTTTATTTAATTTTATTTTGAGACAGGGTTTCTCACAGGAACTCACTTTGTAGACCCGGCTGGCCTTGAACTCAGAACTCATAGGCATCTGCCCGCCTCTGCCTCCAGAGTTCTAGGATTAAAGGTGTGAGCCGCCGCCGCCGCCGCTGCCGCCACCACCACCCAGCAGAAGTGCTTGGAATTTTGATGCCGCATAGAATGTTCTGATCTTGGAAGCTGGTGCTTGGATGGCATAAGTACTTGGATCTTTTGGTGGGAAAGACATTCACAAGCGTGAGGACCTGATTGCTATCCTGCACCTTGTAAAAAAACAGAGGAATCACCTGCCTGGAATCCAGGTGCTGGGAAACCTGAGACAGGAGGATCCCTCTGGCCAGCCATTCTTACTAAATCAGCACCAAGTCCAGGAGAGACCTTGTCACAAAATAAGATGGGAAGTGATTGAGGGAGACGTCTGAGGTCACCTTCAGGATCCGCATGCACAGGTACACATAAGGGCGCACACACATGCGTGAGTGCACGTGGGCACACACACACACACACACACACACTATACAATTCAATGACAGTGTGTTAATAACTTAGCCATTCAGGTCCTCACTTCTCATCTGAGGAAGCATAAGCAGTGTGTGGGTGTGTATGGCAAGGGGACCGCCTCAGATCCTGACCTTGGAAGAGTCACTTAGCCAGTCGTTTGTGACAACAGCTGGCACTACATGGCACCCTGTGGCAGACAGAGCTCAAATCATGTTACAGATAGAAGCTTCTTGCATCTTTCGGTACACCAACCTTGGAGGGAGAAGATGGTAAATGCATTATGCGTTTCACACAGCCTGGGGAGATTAGATTGGCCAGAATGACAGCCGCAGGTAGGGAGTAGTGGTGCACCGCTGTGGTCTCAGCACGTGGGAAGGCTAGCATGGGAGAAACCCATGGTGCTGCAGGCCAGTCTTGCCTACATAGCGAGGGCCAGGGCAGCCTGGGCTACACAGCAAAACCTTCTCTCAAGAAAAGGAAAAGAAAAATGGGGCCATGGAGATGGCTCAGCACCTACATTAGCTGGGAAGATGTGCACATGCTGAGCACAAATATATATGTGCTTGTGTGCACGCATTCCCACACAGACAGACACACACACATGCACACATACACATACACAGACAGACACACACACACACGCACACAGACAGACACAGACACACACACACAGACACACACACGCACACAGACAGACAGACATATGCGCGCGCGCACACACACACACACACACACACACACACACACACACACAGACTGGAGCTTGGACTGGCTTCTGCTCACCCTGGGAATCGCACTTTGTCCCATTCTTCTCCAAGGAGACTGACCTTCTATGTCCACTCCTTTAGTTTCTAGTGGGGGGGGAGACCTTCGGCTCAGAACATTGCTGAATTAAATCTAAATTAATTGAGATTTAATAAAATAAAACATAGAATTCTTCAGTCTGCACAGCTGCATTTCGGATGCTCAGGCATGACACATGGTCACTGGCTTCCGCATCCCACAGCACAGCTCTTCTGGGTCCTGGCTCTCTCTTTGTTGACGTACTGTCCTTTCTTTATACCTAGTCCTGTACCTGATAGACCCAGCTGTGCTTGTGGCCTTGTTGAGAATGTCAGACAAGGTAAATGAGTCTGGTGGTCCTAGTGTAACTATTCTATAGGAGCTATTTGAAGTACTGTGAATGGAACCCAGGGCCTTGATTATGCTAGGTGCTCTGTCACTGAGCCACACCCCAGGGATACTAACCAGGAGCTCTCACCACTGAACCACCCTTCCCAGCTCTTTTAACTGAGACAGAGTCAGAGTGATGCTGACTAGCCTTGACTCACTCTAGCCCAGAGTGTTTCCATCCTCTTGCCTCAGCCTCTTGAGTAGCTCTAATGACTGTCCTGTGCCACCACTGCTGGTTTTGTGACTGCTTTAGGATTGCAACTCCATTCCCAGAGAGCAACACTGACTTGCCTGGTCATTGGGACCTCACCACCCCCAACTCCCAACTGTCCCTACCTCCAGTCTGGGAGGCAGTGGTTGAGGCCCCTTGGAGCCCTGATGGTGACAGGAGCCGTTGGTGGCATCCGGGCCCCAACGCTTCTCTGGGTTCTGCTTGCTGGGTTTCACAAGCCCAGGCAGGGGCAGGCCTGCGCCCTGCACTTCCGCACAGCCTGGGCAGGAAGAGCTGGTGGCTGATGTAAGCCTTTGCGCAAACCCCTGGCTACTGGCTTCCGGGAGTCTTCTACCCGCCATCTGCCACATCAAGGAGGAAGCCTAGGGCTTGGCAGGGCCCAGAGGCCCTACTTCCCCAGCCTCGGGCTACATGGATGTGCTGGCCAGCCACAAGGGCTCTTGGGTCGCTGGAGTTGGTACTGGACTCTGGGCCGCTGGAGTGTGCTGGACCCTGGAGAGGGACTGGACTGCGGTGACGGTGGCTGGACACGGACCATGGTAACAGGCATGTGGTCAAAGGGTGTGTGCCATCTGTAGCTCCGCTGTCCCTACTCTGGGGGGTAGTCAGTGGGGAAGCGCTGCCTTTTGCTAGGTCAGCTTTCCAGAGTGTATCCCAAAGGCCCTGGGGGCATATTTTGGGATCCTATCCCCTTTGCGAGGTGGTCAATGGATGATTGTGTATAGGGCTTGCATGGGAGGGCTGTTGGGGACCCAGAAGCTGGAATGTGTATATACGTGGGTGGAGTCTGAGTTCCCTGTGGTTCAGACCAGGGTCCTCTGGCATCTGAACTACACACATCCTGTCTGTGTGTCCAATGTAGTGTTACTTGCAGGTGATGTCTGTAAGCAGTGCCCACCTCTCAGAGACTAGAGAAGGCCTTGTGTGTTCACATAGCCCTCCTGTGGAGACTGGCCAGGATGGACACCTGGCGGGTGCTTGGTTAGGGTGCTGGGCCTAGGTTCAGGGCTCACCTCCTCTCTTGCAGGGTGTGCTGGGGAGAGCTTGAAATCTCCCACAGAACATCTGGTCTATTTACTATTATTGTCCCTAAAGTTATCATATCTATTATGTAATTCTTGTTAAATACATGCCTCATACCCGGATTTTGTTTTTTTGTTTTTGTTGGCCTTGAACTCAGAGATCCGCCTGCCTCTGCCTCCCGAGTGCTGGGATTAAAGGCGTGCGCCACCAACGCCTGTCGGTTTTTGTTTTTTAAATAGTTTTTTGTTTGTTTTGTTTTTGTGGTGCTGAAAATTGGACCTAGGTCCTCATGCATACTAGGCAAGCACTCTGTATTATATCCTCAGACTGAGGTTGGGCATTTTAGACAGGGTCTCATTAGCCCAGATTACCTGGAATTTACTACGTAACCCATGCTGGCTTTGAATTGCAGCTATCATGACAGGTTCCATCTTCGTTAAACTTTTTTTTTTTTGAGACCAGGACTAGCCTGGAATTGGTTCCTGACTTTTGCTGTTTTCTTTTCACCTTGTGACTGTTCCACAAATCATACCTTTCAGTTTGGGCTTTTAGATGTCTTACCGGGTGTGCTGGGAGTCACTGCTCCTCGCCTGTTGCTAAGTCATGTCCTCGTTGGGCCTCAGGTTCCCCACCAGTTAACATGGGCACATGCAGTCGGTGGATACTCAGACTCTTGCACATCCCAGGTGACCGTGGGGTCCATGGGGATGTTGGTGTCTGAGCTCCTCCTCCAATGACCTTCTTACTCTGTGAGTCCTCAGGGTAGTCCCTGGGGACATCCCCACTCCCATTCCATACTGGACTCAGGCTCCTGTCTGCAGCCAGAGTGGTAAAACCATTCTGGGCTGGGGGTGCTGGGCTGGTGGGGAGTGTAGCTGTCTTCCTTGGTTGCTATGGTGATTGGACCCATAGGGTGTGTCCTGGGCTGGCCAAGGGATGCCTTTTGATCTCTCTGGCAGTGAAAGCTTCATGCAGTGGGCAACCTTGGGATGGTGGTCCAAATGGCTCAGCCTGGTTTACTGGCTGCTTGACAGGGACCCCCCTTTTCTCTGCAGGCGAGGCCTTCTTGGGCAGCTTTGTGGCCAGCAGGATGGGGCCCTCGGCCTCGTCTCAGGGGAGCCCCGTATCCCTGCCCTCTGACCTCTCCTTCCGCTCCCCCGCCCCCAGCAACCTGCCTATGGTGCAGCTGTGGGCTGCCCACGCCCATGAAGGTAAGGAGCGGGCCAGATGGGAGGGGCTGAGGGCTGCTGGGCCACTGTCTCAACCATAATGACAATTTTATGTCCCCAACACCACTCTCAACAACTATCTCACCGTGGCCTCCGTGTTTCCCCCTAGTCGTCAGCGCTTGTTGTACCACAGGGCCTTTGCACAAGCCATTTCGTCCCTGCTTGCAGCCTCTCACCCCAGCCCACTGGCTCCTCCTTCACGGGCTGCTGAAGCAGTCTTTTCTCTCCCCTCTGTAGTAGGAGACAGAAGGTTTTCCTATTTGATTATTCCCAGGTGGCATGCGCCTAGAGGGTGGGGCTGGTGTTTATTCAGTGAGAACCCTCACCTCCCACTCAGGCCTGGGTACTCTGGCAGTACTGGGGATCGAACCACCCTAAGACCCATGCTGGGGAGGTGTGCGTCTCCTACCTCTGACTCTGGTGGATTTGGGGTATTGGGTGCTTGAGTTGAGCATCCTAAAGTCTTCCTATGGGCTCCCCTAGAGTCTGGGATATTACAATTCTGGGAGGCCCTTATTGTCTGTTTTAGGCTGTCTGGGCCATTCCCTCCCTACTGGGGTTGGAAAAAGAATGTCCAACAGCAAGCATGGGGTTGTGGCTGCTGAATTTTGTCCAACTATAGCTGGAAGTGTCCCTGTCAGGTGTCACAGCGTGGTCTTTCCTGTACAGAAGATGTTGCTAAGGCCACTCTTCCAATGCCTCTTGGGACAAGCACTCAAGCCCAGGAACGAATATATACATCTTGGGCAGCGAGGGCTGTGTCGGTCCCCCTGCTGGGTGTTTGCCATGGTCTGGGATGATGGTTGATCATGTGGGTTGGTGTTCGGAGTCTTTCCCGCTGAGCTCAGCCCGGGTGAGGGGAAAGAAAGCAGGGGCCTGGAAGAGCACAGGCCACCTTCATGGTGTCACCAGCTCGTTCCTCAGCCCTTCCTGGGATGCTGACACCTGCAGCAAACACACACGCCGCTGACATGACCTGGGCCTGGGGCTGCGATCTTGGGTCCCCTGCATCCTCTGCAGCTGTCTGGGGAAGGGCTGAGGTACCCACCTTGCACACGAGAGCAGAGGACCCGCTGCGGGCAGCTGAGTGCTGGTTCATGTTTACCTGCTGTGCTTCAGACTGGGCGTCTGCTTAGTTTTACAATTTGCATTGTGGGTTGCCTTGCCTTGCCTTGCTTTCAAGACAGAATCCTGCTATGAAATGCTGGCTGGCCTAGAATTCACTATATGGACTGGAATGGCCTTCAATTTGCAGCAATCCTCCTGCCTCTGCTTTTCAAGTATAAGCAACACTCTGGACAGCCCCTGTGTGTGTGTGTGTGTGTGTGTGTGTGTGTGTGTGTGTGCTATCTATCTATCTATCTATCTATCTATCTATCTATCTATCTATCTATCTATCTATCTATCTATCTATCTATCTATCCTGGCCTTGAACACACAGAGATTGATTGACCTTCCTCTGCCTCCAGAGTGGCAGGATTAAAGGTGTGCCCCAAGCTGGGCGTTGGTGGTGCACGCCTTTGATCCCAGCACTCGGGAGGCAGAGGCAGATGGATCTCTGTGAGTTCGAGGACAGCCTGCTCTACAAAGCGAGTTCCAGGATAGCCTCCAAAACAATACAAAGAAATCCTGTCTCGAAAAAGTTGTGCCCCAGCACTAAATTGCCCTAGGTTAGCTTTGAACCTCCCTCAGTCTCTTCAAGTAGCCAGGATTACTGTCCTGTACCACCAGAGTCTGTTTGTGACCATTTGGAGGTGGGGACAGACAGCGACAGGGTGCTGGGAAATCAGATCCGAGGCTTTTTTCATGTTAGGCAAGCATTCCGAGTACAGTGGTCCCTAACCCTGTCTTGTGGTCTTTTTTTGTTTGTTTGTTTTTTGTTTGGGTTTTATCAAGATAATGTCTCTCTGTACAGCCTAGACTGTCCTGGAACTCACTCTGTAGACCAGACTGGCCCCGAACTCACAGAGATCCACCTGTGTCTGCCTCCCGGGTGTTGGAACTAAAGGCTTGCACCACAAAATGCCTGGCTGTCTGGTGGTCTTTAGTGTATCAGGTGGTGGTGGAGAAAAAGACATCAGCCCTAAAGGGCTTGCATTCCTAATCTCAGACTGCAGACTAGGGCCAGGGACACTGTTGCTCTCAGTAGGACCCCAGGCAGAATGTAAGAAGCTTTGCCTGGCCCCCAGTGCCAACCCTTCTGGCCCCTTGTGCCGCACTCATGCCCTGCTTGCCTCGGTTGTCCATGTTTGTCACCTGTGGCCACCCTTTTTGAAGTCACACCACTTTCCCTGTGGGCCTCACTGCAGGAGCGCTTTCAAGGCTCTGAAGAGGGCATCCTTGCAAGACTGGGCAGCCAGAGAAGCCTGACTTCTTGTTCAGAGAAGGCAAACAGTCAATTCTGAGGCACACAGCAGAGCGGGAGGCCCGAGAAATCCATTCATGCAGGGTCCGCGCTTAATGAGGTTGTCTGGGCAGGGACTTCGGTCTAAGCCAGGTTTAGGTGCAGTTTGATCTCGTAGATAGTGGTCCACTGTCTTTTTTGTTTTGCTTTTAATCTGTACAGTGAGATGATGGAGTGTCTCAAGGTTGTTTCTGAGGGTTAATGAGAATAATGGCTTCCAAGTCTCCTCTTGGTTGGGTCCATTCTGATTTTGATTCTGGGGTATTTGAACTTGTAGGTTTCCTAGGCCTCAAGGAGGGCTTGAAGTGGCAGGGTTTGGAGGGGGCCAATGACCACCCTGGGAACTGGTATTAACCGCTCAGCTTCTTGAACCAGGGGCCTGATGGTCTACTGTGGTTTTTTTTCCCCCAAGGAAAAGAAAATGCTAGAAGGAAGTTCCCTGTGGGGAAACTGACGACTAGTCTAGACTTACTTGTCTTCTCTCCTTAGGCTTCTCCCACCTGCCCAGCGGGCTGTACCCATCCTACCTCCACCTGAACCACCTGGAGCCCCCCAGCAGCGGGAGCCCCCTCCTCAGCCAGCTGGGTCAGCCCAGCATCTTCGATACCCAGAAAGGTCAGCAGCAGAAGGGGGTGGGGCTGTTGCCTGGCAGGGAGGGGGGTGTAGGGTGATGTCCTGGGGTTTCTCTGGGAGGGTCCTTTGCAGGATTTCAGGTATCTTCCATGTTGTTCTTACCTCTTTCTTGGGGGTGGGGTCTTTAGGGTGGAACCCAGGGCCTTGCAGGTGCTAGGAAAAGGGGAACTGTCTGTAGACTAAGCTATCCTGGAACTTGGAAATCCTCCTGACTCTGCCTCTGCCTCCTAAATGCTGGGATTAATGTTGTACGCTACCACTGCTCTGGTTTTCCTTCCCTTTTTTTAAACCAGTAACTCACTCACTCACTCACTCACTCACTCACTCTCACTCTCTCTCTCTCTCTCTCTCTCTCTCTCTCTCTCTCTCTCTCTCTCTCTCTCTCTCTCTCTCTCTCTCCCTCCCTTCCCCCTAGCTCTCTCCCCTCCCCCTCCCACCTCCCCTCCTCTTTTGGAGCTCTCTCCATCCTCCACATGGGCTGCAGATCAAACTCAGGTCCTCAGACTTTCAGCAAAGCCATCTTGCAGTTTCTCCTTCATTCCTTCCTTTCCCTCCCTGCCTTCTCTTTCTCTGTTTCTCTTTCCTCATGTAGTCCATAGTGGCCTAGACCTGGCTACATAGCGAAGGATGCCCTTAAACTTAACGCCCACTGCTTTCTCCTCTAGAGCGCTGGGTTACAGGGTAGGCTCACTAAATCTCTCACCCATCACTGTGTTACCCACAGCCTTTACTAAGCCTGAATAGCTCTGAAAGCAGCCTTTGACCTCTCTCCCTTTACAGATGAGGGTATAGGCTGGGGAGGATGAGATTGTCTAAGTCAGATTTCTGCTCGTTTTCCAGCATTTCCCTCAGACAGACCAGGTCCCTACACATTGTGTCTCTGGGCTGCCATGCACACTTGGGTGGAGGGAAGGAATCTTGGGGTTAGGAGTGAGTGATGATCCTGCTTCACTATGGCCTTTCTCTCCCTAGATGGCTTCTACCTGCCTGCGCCTGGGACTCTGCACTCTCACACACCGTCCTCCAGAACCCCTGGTGGCCACTCCTCAGGTGGTCCAGCCAAAGGCTCCTCCCGGGAAGGTGCAGGCAAGGATCGCTCAGGCCGCGGTGGAGATCCCCCTCCGCTATTTGGCAAGAAAGACCCTCGGGCACGTGAGGAGGTGTCTGTGCCCCGTGGCGTGGTGGACTTGACCCAGGAGGTTCGAGCCGAGGGCCGCCAGGACCGTGGGCCCTCACGCCTGGCCGAGCGCCTGTCGCCCTTCTTGGCAGAGGCCAAAGCCAAGGGTGCTTTGCAGTCATCCTCCTTGAGTTTATGTAATGGCATGGTGGACGCAGGGCTGGTGGCTGAATTGGGTCGTGGAGGTGCCAAGGAGGTAGCCAGGCAGGAGGAGAGTGCTCGGCTGCTGCGGCGGACTGAAGCTCTGCTGCCCTCAGCAAGACCCTGTGGGTCTCCATTGCCTCCGCCACCACCACTGCCCCCCAAGGGTCCCCCTGCACCCCCTTCCTCGACACCCACTGGTGTCTACACTGTGTTCCGGGAACCAGGCCGCGAGCACCGCGTGGTGGCGCCTACTTTTGTGCCTTCTGTGGAGGCCTTTGATGAGCGTGTAGGACCCATCCAGATAGCATCCCAGGCTCGCGATGCCAGGGCCAGGGAGCGGGAGCCAGGCCGACCTGGGGTCCTGCAAGGTCCCCCTGGATCTCCACGACTGGAGCGACCAGAGGTCCTACGGGAGAAGAGTTCTGTCATTCGCTCCCTCAAGCGTCCACCTCCATCCGATGGACCTTCAGCCCGCTCCTCCCATTCCTCCCCGGATGCCCGCACCTACCTGCCCCCCAAGGAACTACTCAAGCCTGAGGCTGATCCGAGGCCTTGTGAGCGTGCACCCCGAGGCTCTAGCTCCTCTGCTGCCCAGCAGGCTGCTAAGTTCTTGGGCCTGGAACCATCCCGACCCCCTGGACCAGAGCATAAGTGGAAACCCTTCGAGCTGAGCAACTTTGCCACCACACAAATGGCTGTCCTGGCTGCCCAGCACCACCATGCCAGCCGAGCCGAAGAGGAAGCAACTGTCGCCACAGCATCCAAAAAGGCTTACCTGGACCCCGGGGGTACAATGCCCCGTGCCTCGGCCACCTGCGGCAGGCCTGGTGCTGACCTCCACCCCGCAGCCCACGGACCTGGAGAGGCCTCTGCCATGCAGAGCCTCATCAAATACAGTGGTAGCTTTGCTCGGGAGGCTGTGGCTGTGCGCCCCGGTGGCGGTGGGAAGAAGAGCCCCTTTGGAGGTCTGGGCACCATGAAACCTGAACCTACACCCACATCCACAGGTCCCCCCAGAGCCCAGGCCCGACTTACACACCCTGGGGTCCCTACAGCTGGAGGGGGCCGACAGCTGAAACGGGACCCAGAGAGACCTGAGAGTGCCAAGGCCTTTGGGCGGGAGGGCTCCAGTGCCCAGGGGGAGACGGAAGTGAGACACCCGCCTGTGGGCATTGCCGTGGCTGTGGCCCGGCAGAAGGACAGTGGGAGCAGTAGCCGGCTGGGGCCTGGACTGGTAGACCAGGAGCGCTCTTTATCACTGAACAACGTCAAAGGTAGGTGCTGGGTCCTGCTTTTGTTTTGTTGGCGTGGCACCTGCGGTCAAGCCTGTAGGATCTCTGATGGACAAGATAGGCAATTGTTCTTGAACTGAGCTGTGTCCTGCCCCTTCTGTTATTTGCAGGGAGACTCTCTCTCTCTCTCTCTCTCTCTCTCTCTCTCTCTCTCTCTCTCTCTCTCTCTCTCTCTCTCTCTCTCTCTCTCCCTCCCCCTCCCCCTCCCCCTCCCCCTCCCCCTCTGTCTCTCTGTCTCTCTGTCTCTCTGTTTCCCTGTGGCTTTAGAGGCTGTCCTGGAACTCACTCTGTAGACCAGGCTGGCCTCAAACTCACAGAGATCCACCTGCCTCTGCCTCTGCCTCCCGAATGCTGGGACTAAAGGCGTGTGCCACCAATGCCCAGCCACACACAGTATTATGTAGACTCCAACTCACTTGGTAACCAAGAATGATCTTGAACTTTTGGTCACCTTGCCTCCACTTCCTGATGTCTGGGACCATTGGCATGTGACACTGGTTCATGCGTAGCTTTGATAGACCTCAGCACTTTCTGCATGCTATGTAAGCATTCTAACAATTGACCTACACCCCAGCCCCCCCATTTCTTCTTAAGTTGCCCAGGCTTGAACTTGTTCTGTAGCCTAGATGGGCTTTGGACTTATAATAGTTGGGATCACACCAGGCCCAGTCCCAATCTTCTTCAATTTTAATCTGCGGGTGTGGGTGTGGGTACAGGTGCCATGGGCAAGCGTGGAAGTCAGAGGGACAAACTTGGGTGTTCCTTTCACATTCTACTTTGAGACAGACTCTTTTTATCTACTTATGTGTGTGTGTGCACGCGCACACACACTGCATATATGCTTACACACATGCGCGCATGCACGCGCGCACACACACACACACACACACACACACACACACACACACGAGTACATCATAGTGCACATGTGGAGGCCAAGAGGGCAAGTTGTAAGAAACGGTTCCTCTTCCCTGTGGGTTCTGGGGATGGAACTCAGGTCTTCAGACTTGGCAGCTGGCGCCTTTACCCACATTTCTCTTGTGGGGCTGCAGATGCCGCGCTAGCTGGCCCAGGGTATTCCACGGGTTCTCTGTTCTCCATTTTCTAACTGGTAGCAGTAGGGGTTTTAGGATTACAGAGTGAGCTACCTCGCTCAGCTTTACATGCCTCTGTGGGATCTGAACTCAGGTCCTCACATTCGTAGTTTGCCTCCTCAGTCTCTTATTCTTGGTTCTGCTTACCTCATTGTCTCACCTGGTTTCCTGCCCCCCACCCTTTGTTTTGTTTTGTTTTTTGAAAGACAGGTTTTCCACTGTGTGGTCTTGGTTAGCTTGGAACCTACAATGTAGTCCAGGCTGGCTTTGAACTCCTAGAGATCCGCCTGCTTCTGCCTCTGGTGTGCTGGGATTTAAGGCATAGGCTACTAGCACTCCTGGCTAGTTTCCTCCTCTTTGCTCCCAAGCCCCTCTTCCTCACACCCCATCCCTCCCTTCTAGTACTGCTTGCCCGTCGTGGCTGCTATTGAAGCTTTGATTGCCTTTCCCATTATCCATATAGACATGTAGAGTGTGGGAGAGGAGAACGAAGAAAAAGACCATTATGTTTTCCCAGCACCCCGAACGCTTTCCTGGCTTTCCCTGAATTCATTTTCCTGTGCAATTTGTGTCTACCTGCAGAGTGGCTAGCTCGGCACACAGTCTTGGTCTTATGTGTCTTTCCCGCATCACAGTGTGGGTTGTTTCTCCCGAGATGGCGGGCTCTTTACAAGTATCATTTTTTTTTACGGCCTTTAATATTCCGTGGAGAGCACATGCCAGCAGGTATTCTAGTTAGGTTTCCGTTCCCCGGTGGGCATTTTAAGTTTCTGCCTGCTTTCTTTTGTGTCGAGAACGCGGTGTAGAATATTTTTGCACGTAGTACCTCTGTGCTATCCGAGAGATTTCTAGGAATAGGCTAGCCTTAAGCCTCTAACTATGAGTCCTCCAGTGGGATAGATCTGGGTGTTGCCTCATTCAATGCCTCTGGTGTGTGTGGGGCTTGGAGCATAGTAGGTGTTGGCTAAACAGGTGCATGTTTGTGAATGGTATAGGTGGCTTCCTGACAGACTTCAGTGAATCCTTTTTAAGTGAAGAAACATATGTGCATGTGTATGAGTGGTGTATCATATGTGTGCTGGTACCCACAGATGTGAGAAGGGGCAGTTATATTCCTTATACCCGATGAGTTGTCCCACCAGTGCCCTGGCTGCTGCTGCTGCTGCTGCTTTTTTAAAATTATTGTTATCTGTGTGTGTGTGTGTCGGGGGCATGTGCTTGAGTGCAAGTGTGAACACGTGCTTGCCATACGCACACATGGAGGTCAGAGAACAGCTTCCTAGTATTGATTCCTTCCACCATGGGCTCAGGGCATGAAATTCAGGTCATCAGGCTTGTGCGGGAGGAATTTTATCCTCTGGGTCATCTCCCTTAACTTTTTTTGGCCACTTGTATTTTCTTGTGTATTTATTGGTGTGATTTTGGCCACTTGTATTTTCTTGTGTATTTATTGGTGTGAGTGTGTGTCTGAGTTTGTGTGAGTATGTGGGCATGTGTGTGCCACGTTGCACGTTTTAAGGTCAAAGGACAACCTTGGGTGTCGGTCCTAGCTGCTTACCTTGTTTGAGTAGGGTCTCTTGTTTGTGACTGTGTGGGCCAGGCTAGCTGGGTTATGGGCTTTTGGGGGCACTCTCCAGTCTCCATCTCCTATTTCATTGCCGGAGCTTTGACATAGGATTATCCATGTGTTTTGGGGATTTGAACTTCTGTCCTCACACTTGGACAGCAAGCACTTCATTTGTTGAGCTATCACTCCCTCTCCCCCGCCTTTTAAATGTGTTTTTGGAGACAGGGAGATAGGGGTTCTCTATGTAACAGCTGTGGCTGTCCTGGAACTTGCTCTGTGGACTAGGCTGGCCTTGAACTTACGGATACCTACCTACCTGCCTCTGCCTTCAGAGTGCTGGGGTTAAAGGCATGCACCACCACCGTACCTCCCCCACCTTTTTTTCCTTTGAGACAAGGTCTTGTTAATAGCTGAGGCTAAGCCCAAACTAACCTCAAACCTGTAAGCCCCCTGCCTTGGCCTCCCTTACAGGTGTTAGCAACCACACTGGGCTCTTTCATCTGTAGAGAGGCTGGATCTTTTTCTGGAATTGGTAAACTGGTTGGTGTTTGAGTGCTCGTGTATTTTGGAGACCTGAGTGTTCACTGAGCTCTGAATCTGTCAGCTAAGGGCAGAGCCTGCTGTCCTTCTAAGGGCCTGTGGTTCAGGCATTGAAGCTGCGAGAATGTGCCCTGGTGAAGGCTGGGAAAAGGGCATGTCCAGCTGGTCTGCCCTTGGGTAGCATCTCAAGGTAGGCATTGTCACATGTCCCCAGCTTCTTCTCTTGGACCACAGTCCAGGGCCACCCACGAAGCTCTTGTTGCAGCTTCCAGTCTAAACACCCATAGCTTTCCTGGGACCTGGTAAACATATTTCCTGCCATCCCCTGGGTTCTTCCCCTCCCCAGCTTGCCTCCTGCCTCCTGTTGCCTTCTGGGTTCCACCATCTTAGTAAGTAGCTCCCTCTGTGGCCTCTCTCCTGGACTGATTTTAGTCCTATTTCCCAGATAGCCTAGCAAGGCCAGGTGTTCAGTGTCACTCTGGCTCCTTTGTAATGCCACTGTCATTCAGGTTCAGGGCCTCACCCTGCCTCAGGGCTGGGAAACTGGACCTGGGTCTTTCTCCTAACACTTTTTATTTTTGAAGATGGGGTTTCACTGTGTGGCCCTGGTGAGGATCTCATTCTATAGACCAGGAAAGCCTTGAAGTCACAGAGATCCTCCTGCGCTAACACCTGACTCCTAGCAGCATCTTTACAGCTCCCTGTGCTCCAGCTGGCCCATGCTTGGTTTCCTGGTAGAGCATCCCATCCCCGTGCCTAATCCTTGAATGTCCCGATGTCTCTTGAGAGCATCTGAGCCTTTGGACTTTGAATTAGGATGAGGCTCCTTGTTTGCCGTCTTTGAAATCTTAACATCATAAAGGTCTAAGTGAAGGGTGCTTAGTGGATGTTTGCTGACTGACTAAACGATCCTTTTCTTGTTCTGGGCTGAGACACCTAGCCAAGGAAGTCAGTCCTATGATGATGGGGGTGGGGTTTGCATCAGCCCCTGCTTATTCTGGGTTGGAATGATAGGGGACACTACCTGCTTGCTAACTCAGCCATGCCCTAATCCTTCACTGGGGGATTCTAGTCAGGTGCATTATCACTGTACATTCACCAGTGGTTTTCATTCCCAGGAGTAAAAGAAAGCATCAAAGACAAAACTTCTCCAGCCCAAACTCAAACCACATCTTCTTCTTACACACACACACACACACACACACACACACACACACACACACACACACACACACACACACACGACCCTAGTGGGCACAGGTATTTTTGTATACTAAATCGTAAGCCACCCTATACACAAGAGTAGTACCAAACCTTGTCACAGAGCCCTATTCAGGGTAGAAGACCTGTCCCCTATCATTGCAACCAGACAGCTTGCAGAGAGTGGCCTAGAGCGCTGCCTAGTGGCCTTGGGCTTGGAGGCTGCTCTGAGTTGGTGTCTAGTGGCAGGTGATGCTTGGGACAGGAATTAACCCAGGGCAAATCAGTCACGCCGTACCGAAGACTTGTGGCCCTGAGCCTAGGCTACATTCCAGGCACCTCCCCTTTCTGGGGCCCCATCAGCAAGTGCTGTACCTGCAGCTGGTCTCAGACACAGAGACCAGTGGCATGTGCCTTCCCAGATGGCTTAGCTCTTGGGAGTATGTGAGCCTGGTTGACGTGGCATCTCCCCTGGGACAATGAAGCATGAGCTCAGGCTCTGATTTCCAGGCACAGCTGTGGAACTCTGGGTGGCTTTCTGAACCTGGACCCTGCTGTTCCCTTCTGAGCTACAGTTTCTCCATGGTTCCTGGGCACAGCCTCTTCTATTTCTGCTATCTCTGTGTGTGTGTGTGTGTGTGTGTGTGTGTGTGTGTGTGTGTGTGTGTGTGTGTGTGTGTGTATCTTTCTGTCTGTAGGCCAGAGGTGTCTTCCTCGGTTTCTTCCATCTTTTAAAAAAAGTTTAAAAAATTTTTATGTACATGGATGTTTTGCCAGGGTGTATGTCTGTGCACACATGTGTGCCTGATGTTCTGGGGGGGCTAGAAGAGGGCATCAGGGGTTATAGATGGTTCTGAGTGGCCCTGTGGGAAATGGGTCCTTTGCAAGAACTGCAAGTCTGTATAACTGCAGAAACGTCTCTCCAGCCCGCACCTTGTCTTTGAACCTAGAGCCCACTGATTCAGCTCGGCTGGCTGCCAGGGAACCCCGGGATTACAGTCCATCTTTTTTATCTTTACATCTATCTATCTATTTATCTATCTATCTATCTATCTATCTATCTATCTATCTATCTATCTATCTTCAGGGCAGGGTTTATTTGTGTAGCCCTGACCTGGAACTTGTACAGGCTGGCCTGGAACTCACAGAAATCCACCTGCTTCCGTCTCTTAAGGACTAGGATTAAAGGTGTGTGCCAGCTTTGCCAGGCTTGTGCTCAGTTTTCAAATATGGGTTCTAGGAATTCAAACTCAGGCCTTCATTTTCAGAGCAGTCATTTCAGCATCCCAGCCATCTCCCCAGCGCCTGGTCGGTCCTGTCACTCTTGTGCTGTTATTCTGCTTGGTGGCGGGGAGCGGGTATTGTTATCTTAGTTATTTCTCCGGTTGCTGTGATGGAATAGCCACAACAACCGGATATTTACTTAAGGAAGAAGGACTTTGGCTCACAGTTTGAACGTGCAGTCCCTCATGGTGTGGGAGGCTCTGGTCATGTTGCATCTGTGGTCAGGAGGCAGAGAAAGATGCATGCTGGGGCTCGGCTCACTTTCTCACTTTCTAAAGAACTTTACTTGTTGATGTGGGCGCATGTCTGTGTGCATGCATGTGTATTCAGGTGCGTGTGCCATGTGCACATGTGGAGACCAGAAGAGGGTCCTCTATTCCTCCCCCACACTATGTCCTTGAAGCAGGGTCTCTCTTTGAAGCTGGAGCTCATGCCGTCTTGACTCACCTGGCAGCCAGGCAGCCCCAGGAGTCCTCCCGTCTCCAGTTCCTTGGAGCTGTAGCTACATGTGTGTGCAAGACGCCTGGCTGGTTCCATGGGTACTGGAGCCCAAACTCTGGTTTCTTTCTTTCTTTTTTTTTAAATTTTATTTATTTATTTTTATGTATACAGTGTTCTGTCTGCACGTATCCCTGCAAGTCAGAAGAGGGAACCAGATTTTGTTATGGATGGTTGTGAGCCATCATGTGGTTGCTGGGAATTGAACTCAGGACCTCTGGAAGAGCAGCCAGGGCTCTTAACGTCTGAGCCATCTCTCCAGCCCCCATCTCTTGTTTCTTATGACAACAGGTCTTCTAACTGCAGAGTTGTCTCTCCAGGCAGGTTCTTTTTTACGTTTGTTTTTTTGTGTGTGCATGTACACACATACCAAGGTCAGAGGGCAGCTTCAGGCCACAGGGATTGAGCTCAGGCTGTCAGGATTGCCTACATTACTTGCTGAACTGTCACCAGCCATACTGTTCTTTACCCAGTCCGAATTGGCAACCCTGAGCATAGTTCTGCCTGCATTCAGGAGCGAGTCCTCCAACCGCTTGCAGAACCTCCGTGGAAACCCCTCACAGATATGCCCAGAGCTTTGCCTCCTAGGTGAGTCTAGATCCTGTCACACAACAGTGTCAGCCTTCACGGGAGGGTTCCAGTTAGTGCCCCGGCTGGGCCTCCCGCTTCTCGCCATCTAAGGGGGCATTGCTCCCCGCTCTCCTCCCCTCCCCTTCCTCTGCTCACCAGTGGAGATGGAAGTTTCTGTCATCCTGCGTGTCCACTGGCCGACACAGCTCTATGCATTAACCAATAGGAGAAACATATTCACAGCATACAGAAGGACCTCCCCCATCACACCAGTTCAGTCACTTTGTGCTGGTGTGAGTAAACAGCTTGGTGGATGCTTCTGTGCATGGTGGCTCTGGGGAGAGGGTCCTTCAGGTGGCCAGGGACACTTCCCTCGCCTGCCCCACATCTGTCCGCTCTCACCACTTAGAATCGGTCAGGGTTTTCCGATTTGTTTTGTTTAATGTTCTAGGCAGCCCTGAGGTTCATTCCAGGTGGACTTGCTGGCCCTGCTCCATCTGCCTTGAGGGGCTGCCCCGTCCCATACTAGGTTGTTTGGTTGGTCCTTGGATGTCTGGGCTCAGGTAGCTGTGCTCTCTCCCAGCCACTGTCCTGTGCTCTAGATGGCTGCATCTCGTTTTCCTGTGGAAACCAGAAGGGTCTGCAGTCTCTGAGCTCATCTTGGACAGTGCTCTTCAGGACTCTGAGGTTTTAGGGGTGCAGAGAGATAGATTAAGTAAGTGCAGGAGCTCAGTTGCTACATCTCAAGTGGGACCCTGACCTGTGAGGGTCTTGAATATGGCCAACTCTAGACCCTGAGACACTGACGGGCTGGGCCAGGAATGGCTACTTTGTTTGTCATCATGTGGTCAGTTTTATTTATTGATTTACTAAGACAGAATCTCATATAGTCCGGATTGGCTTTTAATTTGCCATGTAGCAAAGGATAGCCTTGACCTTAAAATCCTTTGCTTTGTGTATAAACCATGCCTGGTATTCCCCTAGAGGGGGTGGGGATTTGAACACAGGACTGCTAGGCAAGCAGTTTGCCAACCAAGCCACATTCTCCAGCCTCTTCTCCTTTATTCCATTTGTTTATTTAGTGTGTATGTGTGCGTGTGGGGGCATGGACATGTCACCCCCATGTGTGTCAAGGTCAGAAGGCAACGTATAGGAGGTGTTTTCCCCCACCCCCCCTTCTACCATGTGGGTTCTGGAGATTGCACTCAGGTCGTCAGACTTGGCATCAAACTCCTTTAAAGGCTGGGCCTCCCCATCTTTTTTTTTTTTTTTTTTTTTTTTTTTTTTTTTTGAGACAGAGTTTTTTTGTGTAGCTTTGTAACTTTTTAGACTAGGCTGGTCTTGAACTCACAGGGATCCACCTGCCTCTGACTCCCAAGTGCTGGGATTAAAGGCGTGCGCCACCATTGCCCAGCTCTTTTTAATTTTCATCATCATCATTATTACTATTTTTGCTTTTTTTGAGACAGGGTTTCACAGTATAGCCTTGGCTGTCCTGGAACTTGCTGTATAGACCAGACTAGCCTCAATTCACAGAGATCTGCCTGCCTCTGCCTCCCGAGTGCTGGGATTAATGGCGTGGGCCATCACAGACCTTTAAATACATTTATTTGGGCTGGAGAGATTGCTCAGTGGTTAAGAGGGCCTTTTGTTGTTGTTGTTGTTGTGGGTGATCCAAGTTCAGTCCCCATCTTACAGTCATCTGGAACTCCAGTTCTAGGGGATCCAATAATCCTCACCTGAACTCATGGAACACCAAGCAGCCATGAACATAGTACATATATATACATGCAGGCAAAAACACTTGTATGCATAAAATAAGAGCAGAAAAAAGACGTGTATTTTTGTTTTTATGTATATATATATTTAGGCATGGGCATGCCACTGTGCACATGTGGAGGTCAGAGGTCAACTTGCAGGAGTCATTTCTGTCTACTTTGTGAATTTAGGTCTTCAGGCTTCATAGGAAATACCTTGATCCATTGAGCCTCCTGCCTTTTTTAAAAAAAGATAGGATCTTACTCTGAAACTTGGGCTATCCTGGAACTTGTTATGATATGTAACCCAGGCTGGCTTTGAATTCACATCTATCCTCTTGCCTCAAAGCCAGACTGGCCTCAAAATCACAGAGATCCACCTGCCTCTGCTTCTTGAGTGCCGGGGTCAAAGGCTAGCGCCACCATGCTTGTGTTTGATAGATTTTATTGTGTTTAAACTTGTGTCTGCTGGTGTTGTTCTTACCACAGCTGTCTGTATGAGTAGCAGGCAGGCCCCTGGGGTGGGAGGGATGGATGGGAAGTTTCTGGGCCAGATTCCTAAGTGGGGTCCAGGGATCCTAAAGATCTGTGTTGCTGGGAGAGAGATCCTCACGGGGGTTGCTGGAGGGTTCTGTTGGGTGTACAAGGGGAGGGCAGCGATGGGTAGAAGATATAATGAGAGTCTGGACTGCTGCTGGCAGGGAACTCACTGCCACCTTTGGCCCCCAGGGCATGGCCGGACTGATGACGACTGTGATAGAGCCAGACACCGGGAGGATCGGCTGCTCGGGACACGGCTGGACCGGGACCAGGAGAAGTTGCTCCGGTGAGGGCTTCGGGGACCTGAGAGTAGGGGCTGGGAGCTTCTGGGGTAAGGATGATGAGGTGACCTCTGAGTTTCACCGTGGTCCTTGATAGTCAAGCCACCTTGGGCTTGTCCATCCATGCTACTCAAGTCCCCTCCAGCCAGTAGGGAAGAGCCTCAGTTGTCCCCAGGCTTACCCTGTCTGCTCCCTGGGCTGTGTCCCTCTTACTTCCCCTCCCTGTTTCTGGGCCACCAGCTCTTCCTATGCCTCTTGTTTCCCTTTTCAGAGAAAGTAAGGAGTTGGCTGATTTGGCCCGTCTACACCCTACCAGCTGTGCTCCTAATGGTCTGAACCCCAACCTCATGGTGACTGGGGGCCCGACACTGGCAGGCTCAGGACGCTGGTCTGCTGACCCCGCAGCTCACTTGGCGGCACACCCCTGGCTGCCTCGGTCGGGGAGCACATCCATGTGGCTTGCTGGACACCCTTACGGTGAGTGGAGCTTCATGGGCTTTCTCTCGGCTTCCCAGGCATAGTGGGACAGTCGTGCCTGTCCCCAGTCTGCCTGCACCCTTCAGTGTTCTTTTGGGACTCTCGGTGGCGATCAGGGACTATGGTGCTGTCAGTGGGCCTGGAACTTCCTGATGTTGATGTGAACTTGGGTTTCTCCTCTTAGGCCTGGGACCCCCCTCTCTACACCAGGGCATGGCCCCCGCCTTCCCACCCGGCTTAGGGGGTTCCTTGCCATCAGCTTACCAGTTCGTCAGGGATCCCCAGTCTGGCCAGCTGGTGGTTATCCCCAGTGATCACCTGCCTCATTTTGGTAAGTGTCTTTTCTGGCCTTCCCTGGAGGTGAGGTAGCTTTGCATATGGGATGGGGACAAGTGGGCCCAAGAAAGTCTCCGACCTCAGTTGTGTCCAGAGAGCAGATTCTGGCAACTCCATGAAGATTCAGTTATGGTCACCTGTGGGGACTGGATGTCTCTGTCCATTCTGGGGCCCACTCTGCAGACTGTAGGTTGTAATCCCCGTGGTGGCTTTGGTACTGATCCTGCAGGTTGGCATGATCCAACTGTGACCTTTGAGGGCATTCTACTTGGGGTTTTGGTAGAGGTGTGATTCATGTATACACACATGGGGGGATAGTATTCCAGGCCGGGGAAGCCAGCAGGAGCCGCAGGAGCTGGGGCCGTGGGTGTGACTCTCCTTTGTGTCTGCCTCCACAGCTGAGCTGATGGAGCGAGCCGCAGTGCCTCCTCTCTGGCCGGCCCTGTACCCACCGGGCCGCAGCCCCCTGCACCATGCACAGCAGCTGCAGCTCTTCTCTCAGCAGCACTTTCTGCGGCAGCAAGAGCTGCTGTACCTGCAGCAGCAGGCAGCCCAGGCCCTGGAGCTGCAGCGGAGCGCACAGCTGGTGGTGAGTCCTCTCCCTACAGTGGGAAGCAGACACCCTAAGCTGTCGGCCGTCAGCCATTGGGGAGGGATGCCTGAAGGAGGCAGTGTCTGAACAGAGCCGGACCAGAGGGAAGATCAGATATGACGGCCAGGGTGTGGAGGACAGCATTTGCTAGGGACAGGACCCAGTGAGCAGTGGAAAAAACATGACAGAGACGACCTATGGATCAGAGATGTTTCGGGCATCTCAGAGGCTCCTCTGTCTCCAGACAGTATCTATTCTTGTGTAGTCAGTTGGGTGGTACAAATATTTCTTAGCTCTTAGGTCTAGGCAGCCACAGGAGTAGGGGTGGGTGGTGGGGAGCTGTCTCCAGTGTTTTGGGTACTAGCTGCTGGACCCCAGTAAGTACTGGCTGTTGTTAAGCTAAGTTTCACATTTTGCTGTCACACACCTCAGTGATGCTTGGTTAATGCAACTTAGTGCTGAGCAGGTGGTTAAGTCCCCCATGTGTGCACAATGCACGGTGTCGGGGTGTGGGTACTAGGGCCCCTCACTTCGACTGTGAGGGTCCCAAGTGGGTCAGAATCCTTCTTTGTGACAGCCAGGGCTCTGCGCCCTGCCCCCCGCCTGCTGACTGGGTTCTGTAGAATGCCATGTTTATTACACATGTGCCACGGTGGAATGTGGGAGGACTGTGTGGCCCAGCCCTTGTGTCTTACCTGATTCTCTGGAGTGGGAGGCTCCAGGGGCTAGGCAGATGATGATGGCTCCTGCCATGCTGACCCTACCCCCTGTCCCATTCCCCAGCAGGAGCGATTGAAAGCTCAGGAGCATCGAACTGAGATGGAGGAGAAGGTGAATAAGAAGAGCCTGGAGACCACGGGCAAGGCCAGCTTGAGTGCCGCAGGCCCAGGACTGTTGCCTCGCAAGCCCACCGGCCTGGCTGCAGGCCCCACGGGCACCCACGGCAAGGCTGTGAGCCCACCCCCGTCTCCCCGAGCCTCCCCTGTGACCTCTCTGAAGGCCAAGGTTATCCAGAAGGTAGAGGATGTGTCTAAGCCACCGGCCTACACCTACCCTGCCACACCCAGCTCTCACCCCAGCAGCCCACCGCCCGCCTCCCCACCACCTACCCCTGGCCTTGCCCGCAAGGAAGAGGCTCCTGAGAACGTGGTGGAGAAGAAAGACCTGGAGTTGGAGAAGGAGGCACCCAGTCCCTTCCAGGCCCTGTTCACAGGTGGGAGTGGGGGACAGGGGCTGCCTGGCCATGGGATACTGAATTCCCGAGTGTTCAGTGGTGGCCTGGTTCATTCACTCATTCTTATCTGTTCACTGTGCATTCATTCATTCACTGGCTCATTCATTTATTCCTTCTCTCATTCATTTACTCATTCATCCATTCATTTATTCTCTGGCTGAGCACTCTGTAGATCTCACCATCCAACTTTGGAATGAATGTACCTGTCCCTTGTTGGTGCAGAGCAGGGGACATAGTGACAGTATCCGTGCACGAGGGCTGCTCACAGCACAACAGATTTGTAAACTCAGTGCGCAGTAGCTGCTGAGTCTCTATGGGAAAGCTCAGAGGTTCCCATCTGGGTAGCCTCGTAGCCTCTTTGACTCCTGTGTCCTGTGTTCATCAGGCCTGGCCACACGTACCTGGCTTTGGTGTCTGAGGTGTGTGTCCTCTTTTTTGGGGGCAAGAAAGATCATGAGCTTGTGTTTGAGAGGATTTAGGTTCTAATGCAGAATCCTGTATTAGTGCTGTGTTAGTTTGGGCAGGAGGTTACCCCTCTCTGGAACCATTTGATGTAATGCTGACGCTAAGGTGCTAAGAACATGCTTGGCCTCGAACTTACTCTGGTAACTATTGCACTGTTAAACTCCTGTTGGGCGTTGCCCAGGCCTGGCTCAGTCATTCCACTCAGTCCTGCCTCTTAGGGTAAACCTGTTTTACCATGAAGGATTTTGCTTTGTTGTGTTTTGAGACTGTCTCACTAGGTAGCCAGGGCTGCCCTTGAACTCACAGAGATCTGTGGGCTTCTGCCTCCCAAGTTCTGACACTACAAACATGTGCCACCACGCCCAGCTACTATGAGATTTTTGAACACATGTTTCATTGGGGTGGGGTACAGTCCACACTGACAGACAGATATCTTCATAGGCCTTGTTTTCCCATTTGATTTCGGTTCAGTCTGGATTCCCTTTACAACTGTAAGACCCTTGACGACAAGATGGTGGCTGACTTTGCTCTCCAAGGCGCAGACGTGTAGAAGGCTCTTGGGTTATTTTCAGGATCAGCAGGGAAACAGCAGCTGGTCAAGCAGGGGCAGTTGTTTGTATGCTGTGTCTTCTCTCTCAGGTTGTGGGGATAGGTCAGAGCCCTGGGGAACCCCTCTTTCACTGACTTCTTCTATCCTTGGCAGATATCCCCCCCAGGTACCCATTCCAAGCCCTGCCACCACACTACGGGAGATCCTACCCCTTCCTGCTGCAACCCACTGCAGCCGCTGATGCCGATGGCCTCGCCCCCGATGTGCCGCTCCCAGCTGACGGGCCCGAGCGCCTGGCACTGTCTCCCGAAGACAAGCCCATCTGCCTGTCACCTTCTAAGATCCCAGAGCCACCCCGGGACAGCCCAGAGGAGCAGCCACTGGTCGACCGTGAGGTGAAGGCTGAGGTTGAGGATGTAGAAGAGGGCCCCACGGAGCTGCCCCACCTCGAGTCACCGTTGGCTCTGCCTGTTCCCGAGACCATGGTGGCTGTAAGCCCTGCAAGTGGCTGCGGAGGTGGCCTGCTAGAGGCCCAGGTGTTGAGCGCAGCGGGTCAGGGCTGCCGGGAGCCCTCTGAAGCCTCAGACTTTGCACAAGTGGCTGAACCACAGATAGAACTACCGGGTAGGACAGAGCCCCGCATGGCTGCGGCTGCCCTGGAGCTTGGGGCGCAACTGACACCTGAGCCACTCATAGAGACTAAGGAAGAGCCGGTGGAGGTGCCCCTGGATGTGCCAATGGAAGGGCCCATGGCAGAGGCAGGGCCTGAGGACAGCCTGCCCCAGCCGCCCCTGACTGAGCCTCAGCCCAGCCTGGAGCTCTCAGACTGTGACTTACCTGTCCCAGAGGGCCAGTGTCTGAACCTGGAGACCCAGGAGGCTGCACCTGCTCCGGGCAGTGCCTGCTGTCTAGAAGACACCTGTTCTGAGTCACTCCTGCCAGGCCTGGAGGACCCACTGGCCGGCATGAATGTGCTGGCAGCTGCAGCTGAGCTGCCCCAGGCCAGGCCTCTGCCTTCTCTGGGTACCGGGGTCTCAGCCGGGGAGAAGCTGGACACAGCCTCCAGCCTAGGCCTGGAACACAGCTTCCTGCAGGGCATCACCCTGCTGAGCGAAATAGCTGAGCTGGAGCTGGACCGGAGGGGCCAGGAGGTTTCAGGTGAGCCCTGGACTGAAGGTTCCTGAGGTTCTAATTCAGAGTATTTACAAAATCCAGTGTTGGTGATGCACTACTGTAATCTCATCATTCCTGAGCTTGAGGCCGGTCTATCTCTGTGGTTCTAGGCTAGCCTGGTTTACACAACAGAGTCCAGGCCAGTCTGGGCTACAGAGTAGATTTACAGATTCAGATTTTTTTCTTAAGAACTTCCAAGCCTCCCAGAATATGTCTTATTCACATTCTTTCTGTTTGTTTTTGCTTTAATTGTAAAATCAGGCTCAGTGGCACAGGCTATCGTCCCAGCTGCACAGGAGGCTGAGGCAGGTAGATTGTGAGTTTAAGGGCCAGCTTGGGCTAGAGAGAATGCAAGGCCTGTCTAGGCAACTAATTGAGACCTTGATCTCATGATAAAAAGTAAAGAGGGCCGAGGATTAGCTCAGTGGTAGAGCCCTGGAATCCCCCAGTAAGGGCTGGGAGTGGGGTTCTATGGTACAGCATCTGCCTAGAATCCCCTCAGTGAGGGGCTGGAGTGTGACTCAGTGGTAGAGCATCTGCCTAGAATCCCCCCAGTGAGGGGCTGGAGTGTGACTCAGTGGTAGAGCATCTGCCTAGAATCCCCCCAGTGAGGGGCTGGGGTGTGGCTCAGTGGTAGGAGTGCTTGTTCTAGTCATGGGTTCCATCTCCATTATTAACGTGGAGATGGGAGGAGAGAGAAAACATATAGCCAGAGGTGTTGTTTTGATGGCCTTAAGCCTCTGGTTCCATTTCCAACACCTGGCATAGTATGAGAACAGGAGTTTTTTAAAAGTTAAACTGACTTGGAGAGAGGTTGGGTCAGGGTGGGGCTGGTTATGGGTGACTCAGTGGGTAAAGTCACCCATCACCAAGCCTTGATGGTCTTGAGCCCAGAACCTACATAGTAGAAGAGAGAACTGATTCCCAAAAGTTGTCCTCTGAGCTCCACATGTGTGCTGCAACATGTGTGTGTGTGCACGGGTGTGTGTGACATACACACACTCACACATGATTAAGTAAATGCAATGCAGTAATAAATGGAACGTAGCTCAGTTGGCAGAGTGCTTGCTTAGCATGCATGAAGTCTGAGTGTCCCATCCTTAGCACACTTGAACCAGGCATGCAATCCCCCCAACACTTGAGAGAGGGACGCAGGAGGATCCAGATTCATGTCATCTTTGGGTACACTGAGTGTGAGGCCGGGCTGTGCTGTGCTAGACCCTGCCACCCATGGGCAGAATTTATTTGCTTGTGGAACCACAGTTGAGCAACAATGAGGTAGCATTAGATACAGCGGGATGTGGGTACTTAAGTGTTCCTGTGCATGCCCAGGTGGTTCTAACTTTTTCCGCCTCCCACCTTCCCTGCTCTACTTTTCTCTCTGTTGACCTCATTTGCCAGGCTCCCTGCCCTCGCTGGTGCCTCCAGCAATCCCTCCCGTGCCTGTGGGCCTGCTCAGCTGGGCTGTCTTGTCTTTCCCAGAGCCCTAGTAAGATTCCTCATCATGGGCCCACTGGGTGGGGATCATGTCTTTTGCAATACAAAAGCCTGCAGCTGGGGGCCTGGGGAGACGGCACCAAGGGTATAAGGCACAGTAGGTTCCAAGCTAACCAGGACTACACAGTGAACCCTGTCTTTCAAAAAGAGGGGTGTTTTTGGACGGAAACCAGGTGAGACAATGAGGCCAAGAATTAGGGACTGAGAAAGCAACGTACAAGTGCAAGGACCTGAGTTCCGATCCCACAGAAGCATGTAAAGCTGCCTGAGGTAGTTCACTCTGTAATCCTAGAGCCCTTACTGAGTTCAAACCGCAGGATCCATGTAAAGCTGGCTATGGAAACATGTATCCAACGTTCCTTTGCTTTGACTACAAACTTGGGGGTAGAGTTAGAATTCCAGGAGTTCAGTGGCCTTTGAGCAGTGTACACACTAGAACAAACAAACAAAAAACCCTTCCTCAAACAAAGGGAGACAAGGATTGACACCTGACTTGGTGTCTGAACCTCTCTCACACATGTGAATTCTCTCTCTCTCTCTCTTTCTTTCTCACACACACACACACACACACACACACACACACACACACGAGAGAGAGAGAGAGAGAGAGAGAGAGAGAGAGAGAGAGAGAGAGAGAGAGAGAGAGGAGAGGAAAGTCCTGTTGTTCCTCCATGCTGGCCCCTGTTGCTTTTTGAGGAACCACTCTACTCACACTGCTAGAGATAACCCCCAGATCAAAGGCTGGCAGCGAGCAGCAGCTGAGCCCATCTCTAGGTCATCCCTAGTTGTGACAGCCATAAACTGGTTTATTTGTGTATTGGGATTGCTTGAATAATTTGCCAGCAACTGGGCCCCTTTGACTAGAGATTTTTTTTCCTCTCCCTCCCCTCCCCTCCCCTCCCTCCCTCCCTCCCTCCCTCCCTCCCTCCCTCCCTCCCTCCTTTTCTTTTCTTTTCTTTTCTTTTTTCTTTTCTTTTCTTTTCTTTTCTTTTCTTTTCTTTTGACAAGTAAGTAGCCTAGGCTGGCCTAGAATCTGCAGCAGTTCCCTTGCCTCATCCTCCCGAGTGCTGGGCTTGTAGGCATGCTGAAGACCCATCCAATCCTTCTCCTTTGGTTTGTAGACGTCTGACCTTTGCTGTCTTAAAGACTTTGACTTCCTCTGGAGGAAACCACCCATATTAGATTAGGGCCTACCTCATCCACCTCCATAGGAACCCTGTCTTCAAGGAAGGTCACACCCTGATGTGCTGATGGGGTGGGTTGGGGGTGTCACACACCTTCGGTACCAGCATTTGGGAGGCTGAGGCAGGCGACTCTCTTGCACTGGATTTCTGGGATTAGAATCTAATTAGCTAAATTAGGGGTTGCGACTGTACCAGTAAAGGCTGGCTTGGCATGTATCCCTGGGTAGCTTTGGATCAGGAGGCTGGTGGCACGGGGATGGACCTTGAAGTGACAGGGTGTGGTGGCAGTACCAGCCTGCTTCATTCTGAAGCCAGGGACCTGGTAGGTTCACTACCTCCTGGCCTTCATTTACCTAAGGATATATAAAATAAAGCCTGGGCCGGAGAGATGGCTCAGTCGTTAACGTCTGGGTTCATGACCAAAAAATTAAGAATAAAACCCACTGGCTGGGTGGCACAGGACTGTACTCCCTGCTTATGACCTGGGCATGAGGAATGAAAGCTCAAGGCCTGCCTGGGTTACATACAGAGTGAGTTCAAAGCCAGCCTGGAGGACTGTTACAGAGCAATGGAGTTCAAGGCTGGCCTGGACGTGATGATATGCTGTCTCAAACACAAAAAAGGAAGATAGTGGAGCTTAAGGTGGCTCAGTGTTTAAGAGCACCAGCTGCCCTTCCAGAGGGCCTGGCTTGGTTGCCAGCACCCATGAGAGCAGTTTACAACCACTGTAAGTACAGTTCAGGAGATGGCATGGTGGTACACACACTCTAATCTCAGCACTCAAGTTACAGAGGCAGGCAGATCTCTAGGATTCCTAGGCCAGCCTGGTCTACATAAAGAGTCAGCTTAAGTTATGTATCTCAAAACAAAAGAAAATTGAAAAGTTAAAAACTGGGGAAAAAAATGAAATAAAAACCCAAACTGCTGATTTTCACTTAGAGATGTATTTTTGTGCCCTCTGGGATGTTGGCAGCGGCAAGTCTGGTTGTCACTGGTTCAGGAAAACACTGCTGACACCTAGTGGGAAAAGGCAGGGAAGACTTTGATTCAGCCAGTGTGACATGGGACAGCCCCCAGCCGAGGATTCCGCCCACCTTGGAACCAGGCTTCGAAGCCCTGGTTATTATATAAGTGCTGAGAGTATTCATGGCCTTCAGACATGGATGATTTTATGTTTTCGTCAAGCATGCTTGAATAGTACACAAAAATTTGGTTAACTTTTAGATCAAAGAGAAAAATGTCGATTTGAAAATGAAGAGGACCAGTGAGGTGGTTCAGAAAGTAAGGGGCTTGCCGCTAAGCCTGAGACCCTGAGTTTGATTCCTTAGAACTCAGGATAGAAGAGAGAACCAGTTTCTGAAAGTTGTTCTTTGACCTCCATATACTATGTGTATGTAGCACATTCTCTGTCTCTTTGTCTCTCTCTCCCCCTTCCCCCCTCTAATTCTAGCACTAGGAAGGCTAGGAAGAGGGTTTTGATTTGAAGCAGCCTAGACAAGACCAGACATGTAGCTTTAGGAACACTGGAACTATTAACATGTGTTCCTGTGCTGGGCTTTACATGCATTCTGGGGATTTGAACTCAGTGCTTCACAATTGCCCAGCAAGCACTTTTCTCAGATATTTCCCTAGACCAGGTTGTAGTTTTTATTTCTCTTTCTTTTGTTTGTTTATTTATTGATTGATTTTATTATTATTAGTTTTTCTGAGACAGGCTTTCACTATGTACTCTTGGCTGACCTGGAACTCTTTATGTAGACCAGGCTGGCCCCAAACTTCTAGAGATCCACTTGCTTCTGTCTCCCAAATGCTGAGCTTAAGATGTGTGCTCATGCCTGGCCTTTTTTAAAAAATGTGTGTTATTTTTAAGTGTATGTTTGTATGTATACATGTGAATTTGACTGCCAAGGGCTTGGGTTCTCTGGAGCTGGAGTTACAGGTGACTGAACTGCCAGACGTGGGTGATGGGGCTTGAACTCAGATCCTCTGCAAAAGCAGCATACTCCCATACCTGCTTAGCTGTGTCTTTTTTTTGTGTTGTGCTCCCCCCCCCGGGTTTTTTGTTTGTTTGAAAGGAGGGAGGAGTCTATGTGGCCTGAGCTCAGTCCTTCTGCCCAAGCCATCTGAGTCCTGGGTGACAGGTATGAACCACACTGGTTCCCTGGACCTCTTTTTTCTTTTCTTTTTCCGAGACAGTGTTTCTCTGTATTGTTTTGGAGGCTGGCCTGGAACTCACTCTGTAGACCAGGCTGGCCTCGAACTCACAGAGATCCACCTGCCTCTGCCTCCCGAGTGCTGGGATTAAAGGCATGCACCCCCACCCCCGGGCTCCTGGACCTGCTTTCTTTTTTGGGGGGGAGGGTTTGAGACAGGGCTTCTCTGTGGCTTTGGAGGCTGTCCTGGAACTAGCTCTTGTAGACCAGGCTGGCCTCGAACTCACAGAGATCCGCCTGCCTCTGCCTCCCAAGTGCTGGGATTAAAGGTGTGCGCCACCAACGCCCGGCTCTGGACCTGTTTTCTGATGTGGGAAACAGCATATTTGCCAATGAGAAATTTAAGTGGACAACACTCATGGGGATGGATACCCAATGTCCTGGGAAGGAGCCTCTGCCAGCCTTCTTTGGTCACTCTGATGTATTCCTGGCCTTTCACACACACGGCGGGAACAGAACTGGTCCCCATCCCGGGTCTGAGTCTACTCATGTCTTCGACACTGTGTCCTACTTCTCAGGCTGGGTTCAGTCCGGTGGATCACAGTGTGTGCGGTGTGTGGCCACAGTTGAGCCAGGGCTGACTGAAGTTTCTGAGTTTGGTCTAGTCTCAGGATGGCTGGTTGGGTGGGTGCAGCCATCTTACCAGTGGTCCAGGTCCCTCTGACTGACTGACTTGTCCCCCTCGCTTCCCCAGGTGCAGAGCCAAACCTGGTGGTGCGACCCTCTCTGGAGAGTCTGCTGGCGGCCAGCAGCCACATGCTGAAGGAAGTGCTAGACAGCCCCTTCTCAGACCCACTCAAGAACTTGCGGCTCCCGCGTGAGCTGAACGCCAACAAAAAATACAGCTGGATGCAAAAGAAGGAGGAACGGGTGAGACCTGGTGGCCTCTTCCTCCTGCAGACCTGAGAGGTCCAGGCTGGGGGGTGGGAGTCTCACTGGCCATCCTTCACCTTTTGCCATGTGGACTGCGGTGGGTCGTTGGCCCCTCTCTTGGCTTTGGCGTGTTCTTTGGGTGTAGTGATGAATTGGAATGAAAGCAGACTGGCAGTGAGGCCCGGGGCTACCCTTTGCTGCCTGTGTGGTCTCGGGTAGCTGCCGTCCACTGCAAGTGTGTAAATGACACACTTGTCCTCATTAAACCATGACTACAGCACAGGGCTTAGTCATGATGTCATCTTAAGTGTTGATACGACCTGACAAAGTTGGCCTTAGGGTGTCCTGAACATAGAGGAGAGGCAGGTCTGCGGAAAGTTGGGAATGGTGACAGAATAACCTGGCGTGATGGTTTATATTTGTAACCCCAACAATTGCAAGGCCGAGACGGGAAGATTGCCGAGAGTTCCAGGCCAGGCCAGGCCAGGCTACTTAATGGGTTTGAGCCCAGCACCTCATAAAGTGGACATGATGGTGCTCGCCTGTAGTCTCAGTACTCAGGAAGTAGAGGCAGGAAGATTAAAAGGTCAAGGTCATCCTTGACTACATACTGAGTTTGGGGCCAGCCTGAGCTACATGAGACACTGTCTCTAAAATCCAACTAAAAGATGGGACAGCAGTGTCTGACAAAGGGGCAGGTATCAGCGACATCAGCAGCCTCATTTGTCTGCCCCTCCTTCGGGTCCTCCCTCCAGATGTTTGCCATGAAGTCTTCTCTGGAAGACATGGATGCTCTGGAGCTGGACTTCCGGATGCGCCTGGCAGAGGTCCAGCGGCGGTACAAAGAGAAACAGCGGGAGCTGGTCAAGCTCCAGCGACGCCGTGATTCGGGGTGAGTGTCTCCCAGCTTGCACCCCATCCTCGACATCTGGTTGGTAGGTCGACTGTGGTAGTCGTCAGGTGTGTGCGTGGACCCAAGTGCCCCACTCCGCGCCCCGCCCATCCCAGGTTCCCAGCCGAGCCTGTGAATTCTTTTTAAGGGACAGGCACGAGGATGCCCATAGAAGCATGGCACGCAGAGGCCCTGGCAGGCCGCGGAAACGGACCCACACCCCGAGCGCCCTGTCGCCCCCCTGCAAGAGAGGGAAGAGCCACAGCGGTAGCGGAAAGTAAGGCTGGCCCCTGGGTGCATCGGGGACTGACTGGTACCCAGCTCGGAGGGAGGAGCAGGGACCCCCTCTAAGGTGCCCACCACTGGGCGCCAGGGGACCTGGTAGTGCCTGGTGCTCTGATACCTGAACGGCAGCTCCCAGGGAGCCCGGAGTGCTGCCCAGTCCAGGAGGGTAAGCAAAGAGAATGAATGGAAAGATCATCAGTGACTTAACTCTCACCCGAACACTTGGCCCCGCCTTCCTGCCCCACCCACGTCTTCACCACCAGAGACTAATTCTTCCATGGTCCTCCCTGAGGAAGTACCACTTCAACTCCAGCCTTCTAGGACAGGCTGACTATATCCTTGTCCTGTTGGGATCCCACAGGAGATTAGGGCTGCTCCCTGGGGACAAGGTCCTCTTGGGTGGCACTGCAGCCATTTCAGAGGGCTCCTCCTGAGGTTGTCCTTTTTTTTTGAGACAGGGTTTCTCTGTGCAGCCCCGGCTGTCCTGGCACTTGCTCTGTAGATCAGGCCGGCCTCAAACTCAGAGATCCATCTGCCTCTGCCTCCCAAGCTCTGGTATTAAAGATGTGTGCCACCAATGCCCGGCCTGAGGTTGTCTTGAATGCTGGCTGGGATGAGGACGCTTTCTCTCCAGGGCCTGGCTTCTGTACAGATGGGCTCCGGCCTCCCCATGTACCTGTAAACGGGCCAAATGAAGTCCGTTGAGGAAAGGGGTTGTACAACTTTCCTTGTTGGCAAGCATGGGCGGGCAGATACTACTTTGGTCAGTGATTGGAAACAAAAAGGAGTGTGTAGGGCTTGGAGTGGCCACAGGCAAGGCAGCAGAATGTTCATGGTCCTGCTCATGAGAAAATGGCCTCCATCTTGCCACATCTTACATTTAACTGTTGGAGGTTCCTGACTAGAAAAGGAACAGAAATGAAGATGTCTGTCACAGCCACAGAAGAGGATAGAGGAGAGGCTATAGAGAAATAGATAAAGCAGCTAGGACCACCAGCGATGCAGGCCTAGTGATCAGGAGCGTTACCATTATGCTGACTTCTTGCTCTGAGTCCCAGCTCCACCACTTCTGTGACGTTGGGCCTAAGGTCAGCTTTTCCGAGTGTCCAGTCTCTGTTCCCTCACATATTTACAAGACAGTCACGCCGCAGCACTGGGGATAGTGTAGTGGTAGAGCCATTGCCTGGCACACGAAGCCCTGGGTTCACCCCATGCCAAGGTGTGGTGGCCCATGCCTGTCACCCCAGCATTTGGGAGTCAGGCAGGTTCACGAATTGAGAAACACTCTGTGTCCCTGCTCTCCAAAAAAGGGGGCCCAGTGCAGGGCTCTCCCTTCATGCCAGCGTTTGATATACTCTCCCCTCCCATCCTGGTAGATTTCCTTAGTCTTTTCTGACCTTTGCTCTTGGGGCAATTTTGGTATAGATATGTCTTATTGGTCTGTCTGTCTGTCCGTGTGTGTGTGTGTGTGTGTGCGCGTGCGTGCGTGCCTGCCTGCCTGTCTGCCTGCCTGCCTGCCTGCCTGCCTGCCTGTCTGTCTGTCTGTCTGAAACCACATAAGGGAGAGGCTGAGGAGGATGCTGACTTGAAGGTTTTTTCCCCTTCTCTCTCGTGCTTCATTTACCAGCACCCACCTGTCTTTCCATATTGGTCATTTTGGTATCCATCACTGTTTCTTTCCACATCTGTAGCCCAACCCTTGAGGGCCACATGGGTGGACGACCCCCTCCCTTTGAGCGTGGCCTGGCTGAGGTGTACTGACCCCCACGGTGTGTTTGGCTTTCAGGCTGAGCAGCAAGTCCCTGCTGACGTCAGATGACTACGAGCTGGGAACCGGAATGAGGAAGAGACACAAGGGGCCTGAGGAGGACCAAGGTGCCCTCATTGGCATGGGGAGAGCCCGGAGCAGGAACCAGAGCTGGGACGATCACGAATCCTCATCTGACTTCATGAATCAGGTCAGTAAACTCAGTCGTATAGACTCACTGGGACACAGTCCTCAGCTTGGAGGGCTGGCGGTCACACCAGAGACAGTGAACCTTCGAGATGGAGGGCTGTTGGTCCCTACTGCTACAGAGAAACTGTTAGAAAAGGAAGACAAGGCCCGGCAAAGGAACAGGAGCCCGAGGTAGGGCTACAAGCTATGTCAGTTTGTGTGCACTGAGACGGTGCTTAAGCAAGCGGGAGGGTAGATCACAAGTGCGTAACCAAATAGTGGTTACTCCGTTGTTTAGCAGAGTAATGGTTTAATGAGCACCTTGGGCTCGATGCCATTGTGACTCAGTCTGAGTTCTCCGGGGGTAATTTCTCATTTCAGCAGAGCCTTGAGACCTTGCACTTACGGACCCTGCTTGTGAATGCTAATGTGTCTCCTCATTAAGCCTTGTGGGAAGAGAGTGTTTTGATTGGTTTTTGTCATCACATAAAGGGGCCGCATGGGGAAGATAGTCAGGTTGGGGCTGTGGACGTGGCTCAGTGGGTAAAGCACTTGACAGTCAAGTGTGGCGACTGGAGTTCAGATCCCTAAAGCCCACGCACAGCTGGGTGGGCATGGTGGTTGGTCTGTAATTCCCGATCTTGGAAATGTCACTGGGGCAAGCTGACTGTTGAGACCAGCCGGAACAGTCACCTCTGGGTTCAGTCCTAGCTTGAGTAAGTAGAGAGTGAAGGAGGAAGATACCGTCTGTCACCTTCCACCTGCATTCAAATGCATGTGTGGACCCTTACATACAACATGCATGCCATACACACATACATATGCAAAAAAATACCTTAAAAAGGTATCGGGGTGGTGTGCAGAGACAGGCAGATCTCTGGACTTGGAGTCCAGTCTGGTTTACATAACAAGTTCAGAGCAACCAGGGCTTTATAGTGAGACCCTATCTCAGGAAAAGAAAATCAAAATAAATAAAATTCTACCTCTTTAATCCCAACACTTGGGAGGCAGAGGCAGAGGCAGGTGGATCTCTGAGTTCAAGGCCAGCCTGGTCTACAGAGCTGGTTCCAGGACAGCCAGGGCTACACAAAGAAACCCTATCTTGAAAAAGAAAACAGCAACCAAACAACAAATAAGTAGATAAATAAATAAATCAAGCCGGGCGTTGGTGGCGCATGCCTTTAATCCCAGCACTCAGGAGGCAGAGGCAGGTGGATCTCTGTGAGTATGAGACCAGCCTGGTCTACAAGAGCTAGTTCCAGGACAGTCTCCAAAGCCACAGAGAAACCCTGTCTTGAAAAACCAGAAATAAATAAACAAATAAATAAAAATAAATAAAAGCATGAAGAAATTGCCAGTTTTTTGAGCACCAGGATCTCTTTTCCTCTCAGGTGAGAAATGCTTTTGTTAATTGCCTTAACAATGCTGTCCCAAACTCCCCAGCCCTCTGCAAATGCTACCTGATTAAAAATATATATAGCCAGTGCCCTGAAATGGCAGAGCATTAATGCCTTTGAAGCTGCGCATTTCATTTCAACAAATGACTACCGTTGGCAATAGACGTGCAAGGAGAAATTTAATCTGTGAAATCACTAATCAGTCTCCCTGGTCTAGGCATCCAAGGCACACTCCAGCCGTTTTCTTGGCAGCTCTGACCCGTTTACTTGGACAGGCTGGTTTCGGCTGAGCAGCAGCCTCCGGCAGCTGCTGTGGGAGGCTGAGATGGTAGAGCAGATCTGCTGTGCTCTGGGCTCAGTTTCCAGCCTTGGCTCTCGTCGCTGCATCCAGCTACCTTCTCCCGCCCATCTGTAGCCCTGTTTTCTCAAAGTTCTTTCTATAGGCGCTCCCAGACAGGCCTGTGGAAAGCCAGGATGGGAAAAGTGTTGCCAGCTAGAACTGTTACCATGGTAACGGCTTTTAATAAGTGATTACCAGGCTAGGCATCTTAAAATTTTTTTTTTAAATTTTATGTGCACGTTTGTCTATGCATGGCATAGGCTCACTGTCCATGGAGATCAGGAGAGAATGTTGGATCTCCTGGAACTAGAGTCACAGACAGTTGTGAGCAGCCTTGTGGGTGCTGGGAATTGAACCTAGGAGCTCTGGAAGAGCAGCCAGTACACTGAACCATGGAGTTACCTCTCCAGCTCCCAGTCTAGGCATTTTTAATAAGTGTTTTATTTGTTGCATTTATTTATAAAAAGATTTATTTCTGTTGTTTTTAAATATGTGGCTATGTGTGTACATTAGTGCAGATAGATGCCCATAGCATCCAGAAGAGAGTATTATATCCCCTGGAGCTGGAGTTACAGGAGGTTGTGTTGGGAACTAATGTGGGTCCTTTGCAAGAATATTACAGGATCTCTCTAATGTCTTACTTTATTTGTATGTGTGTGCATGCGCGTGTGCGCGTGAGGGCACATGCCTGTGTGTGTGTGTTAGGTATGTGTGAAGGTCAGAATCTATTTTCTACATTATGTAGGTTCTAGGGAATTGAGCTCAGGTCCTCAGACTTGGCGACAGCTACCATTACCTGCTGAGCTGTCTCACTGGTCTGAATCAATGTTTTATGGACCTTACCCTGGTTATCTTCATAGTAGCCTAGTGATAGACACAGATAGCCTGTTTTAGATGGAAGGACTGGGGACAAGTTAAGCAATTTCCCAAGAGTCTAGAGGACACAGGACAGGCGTTAGCCCCTGCCATGAGCATTGTGACCCCAGACTCACTATCCTATTTGGCCGTATGTTTTACTCTGTGACCCAACCTTCCTTCCCCAGCTAAAGATTAAGAAGAAGAAGATGGCGAGCGACCAAGAGCAATTGGCAAGCAAGCTAGACAGAGCCCTGTCCCTCACAAAACAAGACAAGCTAAAGTCGCCCTTCAAGTTTTCCGACAGTCCTGGGGGAAAGTCGAAAGCTAGTGGGACCTGTGGCAGGTTCTTGACAGCATATGACAGCCTGCTGTGCAAGGACAGGAAAGTGCTGGCCAAAGGCCTCGGCTTGTCTCTGAAGCCCTCCCAAGAAGGTAAACACAAGAGGGCTGCCAAAGCCAGGAAGATGGAGGGGGGCTTCAAGGCCAGAGGCCAACCCAAGCCCACCCATTCTCCATTCGCCTCGGAAGTGAGCAGTCACTCCTACAGTAAGTATTGCCTTCAGCGCCACCCCGCACCGTCAGCGCTTAATCTACATTATCCCTAACCTTTCTTGCACTCCTCCGAGGGACTTCAGGGTATGTGGGAACATTGCACTGTGCCTGAAGCCAGATGGATGTCCCCATAGCGGAAATGCCAGTGAATGGCAGGTGTGGTATTGGACAGGCACTTGTGATTGGTAAAAGTGGGTGTTAGTGTCTCACCTTGCACCTTGGAGTTTGTAGACACTCAGCCTAGAGTGTAAGTGGTGATGCACTCCATTGCCTGCAGGAAGTTTGTCCTTTATGCCGGGCAGAAGTGCAGCCATGGGTGGTGGAACGGGTTATGGAGGGATTGGGAGGTGAGTGTGGGCCTAAGTGCGAAGAGACAAACTGGGACAAACGGTCCTGTTTGAGCTGCTTGCCCGTGACAGCTCACCGCCTTGCCTGGATGTTGCCTTGCCTACTGCTACAGCCATGTGTGACTAAGGAGCCAAGGAGATGGAGCAGCCTGTGGGACCGAGGGATTGGCTCAGTTTTTATTGCATTTACATAGAGACTAGTCTCGTGGTTTGTCAGAGCAAGGCAGCACTCCTTGGCCTCTTGCGGGCCCTGGTCTTTTGCCTGCCGGGGGAATTGGGTGCTCACTCATTCTGTACGGATGAGTACCTGATGTCCAAGACAGACAGGCACTAAGGGTGCAGGCTTCAGAAGGCAGGAGGGACTTCTCCATCCAGTCCCATGTCACAGGTTTGCACTGGCTGTCCTCAGGGTCTTCTGTCAGATTCACTGTCTGAGACTCTGCTAGACTTTGGTTCCTGAGATATGTGTGTGTGACTGAAAAACAAAATCATATATTTCTTCCCCCCCTTTTTGCTGGTAGTGCTGAGAAGTCGATGTAGGATCTGATGCTTGCCAGACAGGAGCAAGACCCCAGCCCTGATTTCCGACTCACTGTATCTCCATCTTACGTCTCCCTCCGCTTTCCCTCATTACGGGGTCTCTTTATGTAGCCTTTGCTGGTCTTTACAGTGTGTATATCCCAAGCTAACTTTGAATTTTTTTAAGTATGTATGTATGTATTATGTATGTATGTATGTAATTTATTATGTCTGCAGTGCTCTGCCTATATGCATCCCTGCATGCCAGAAGAGGGCACCAGATCTCATTATGGATGGTTGTGAGCCACCATGTGGTTGCTGGGAATTGAACTCAGGATCTCTGGAAGAGCAGCCAGTGCTCTTAACCTCTGAGCCATCTCTCCAAGCTTCTGACTTGATTTTCAATCCTCCCACCTCCACCACCTGAATGCTGGGATTATAGACATGTGCCACTGTGCTCTGCTTGCTTAACGTGCTTGTTTGTTTGTTTGTTTGTTTTCTTTTAGCTGGGCAGTGGTGGTACACAACTTTCATCCCAGCACTCAGGAGGCAAAGGCAGGCGGTCTCTGAGTTTGAGGCCAGCCTGGTCAACAGAGCAAGTTCCCAGACAGTCAGAGTTACAGAGAAATTTTGTCTCAAAAAACAAAACAAAAATATTTTCTTTGTGTGTGTGTGTGTGTGTGTGTGTGTGTGTGTGTGTGTGTGTGTGTGCTCGCTCGCTCGCTCGCTCATGGGTGCTTGTCCTTGGAGGTCAGAAGAGGACTTTGGGTTCCCTAGATCTGGAGTTACAGGCAGTTGTGAGCCACCGTGTGATGCTCAAAAGAGAACCTGGGTTCTCTGGAAGTGCTCTTAACCACTGAGCCATCTCTCCAGCCTAGTGTTTCCTTCCTTCCTTCCTTCCTTCCTTCCTTCCTTCCTTCCTTCCTTCCTTCCTTCCTTCCTTCCTCCTGTCCTTCCTTCCTTCCTCCTGTCCTTCCTTCCTTCCTCCTGTCCTTCCTTCCTCCTGTCCTTCCTTCCTTCCTCCTATCCTTCCTTCTTTCCTTCCTCCTATCCTTCCTTCCTTCCTCCTATTCTTCCTTCCTTCCTTCTCTCTCCTCCCCTTCTCTCCCTCCCTCTCTTCCTGCCTCCCTTTTTGAAGATAGGGTCTCTCTATGTAGCCTTGGTGGGCCTAGAATTCACTGTGTAAATAAGGCTGGCCTTGACTCACAAGCTCTCTCTGCTTCTGCCCTGAGTTCTGGGGCTAAGGCACGCAAGTTTTAAACTCGCATCGTCTATGGGCTTTGGAGTTCAGGCATTGCCGTGGTTTTCCTGGCGTGTAGTCTGCCTTGAGTCTGCAGGGAGGTGATGTTGCGCCTGCCACAGGGTTAAGTTGCTGCTTTGTGTGAAGCACGGCTTTTTGTTGTCTTTGACCTGCGGGTCCCCAGGACTGATGCTCCAATGGGTGTGAGATCTGCACGTCCCTCAGCCTTGTGCACCGTAAACGTGTTGGATGGTATTAGCTCAGTGCTCCTCACAGCCAAATGGTATGATCACTTAGGTCCCTGCTCACAAACAGGTACAAGGAGAGGAGGACTGTGGAAGATTTGTGGCAGAAAGTGGAAGACAGTGGTGGCCTCTTGGCCTACCAGTTGGGGTTGGAGGACAGGAATTCTTATGGGAGGTTAAGTATCTGTGGCCTTGGAAGGACCAAGTTAAAACACATGAGAGGGGCTGATGGTGTAGTTAGTGTGTAGCAGCACTCACTATGCAAGCTTACCAACTGAGCTCTCTCTCTCTCTCTCTCTCTCTCTCTCTCTCTCTCTCTCTCTCTCTCTCTCTCTCTCTCTCTCTCTCTCTCTCTCTCTCTCTCTCTCTCTCTCTCTCTCTCTCTCTCTCTCTCTCTCTCTCTCTCACACACACACACACACACACACACACACACGAGTTATGGCAGAAGACTGGTGATTTGGTTTGATGGGATTTGACATCCTCCACCAGACTCAGTGGACCACCTGAAGTTGAGGTTCCCCTTTGTGGTGGAAAGTGGAACTTATCAGTATAGCAGCTTTAGGGATACCCCGTGCCCCTGCGTGCTTCTCTTGGACCTGAAGACGTTAGGCGCTGCCAGGCTGTAACTGTGTGTGTTCATGTTCATCTTGTTCGGCGTGGGTTTTTAGCAGATCAAGGGATTACTGTCTTGGCTGTGTGGCCCTTTCTTGTCTTGCTCAACAGCCCAGCAACAGTGTCAAATAGCTCAAGATGGTGTCTGTTTGGGTTGAAGTTGGAAGGGACCAGAGAGCCTCCTTTGTTGGGCTCTCTTCCCAACTGTGGCAACACCACCATGTGTTTAGATCAGAGACTTAGAGGAAGCCATTGACAGTAAGCCGGGCATCTGGCCCTCTGACGAGGGATGGGTGCGGGGAAGGGCGCTGGCTGAGGGATCACTCTGTGGTGAATGCCCTCACCTGCAACCCATTTCAGTGTGCTGTTGCTGTGAATCGGAACAAGGAGCTGGCAAGAGATACATAGGGTTGGTCCTTGCCAGCTGTGTCCTCCCCTTAAAAAGCCACTGGGCTGTGCGTGCCACGTGTAGGGTGGACATGAACCACATGCTTCTTTCTGGACAGTAGAAACTGTAGGGTTCTTACTCAGAATTGTGCTCAGATGTCATTGCCCCCAGCCCTCATACTCAGTGGATGTCCCCAAGGTGGGTGACACCAGCAGAGAGAGCAAAGGGCCTGGGCTGCCTCACTGGGCAATCCAAGCTGTTCATGACAGATTAGAGGAGAGCTGGGGTGACCCACATGCCCGGGCTTGTGGACAGTTGGCACTTGGTCATATCACATTTCTGTGTTCAGGCCACTGACAGGACAGAAAGACAGCAGCTCCCTCCCTGTACTCTACAGCTTACCTGTATTAAAACTTACTTCTGAAGGCTGGGAAGAAAGCTCAGTGGGGAAAGTACTTGTGCAAGCAAGGGAATGCAATAGTCCCCACATAGACGACCAGTGTAATGGTGTGTGCTTGTGATACCAGTGCTGGGCAGGCGTAGGCAAGGAGGTCATCTGGGGCCTCTGTCCAGCCAGCCTAGCCTACTCGAAGAACAAGGTGAGGCCAGTGAGATGGATAAAAGGCACTTGCTACCAAGCCTGGCTACATGCGTTCAATCCCCTGGACCCATAGGTAGAGGGAGAGAACTGATTCCCACAGGCTGTCCTCTGATACATACATGCCCCCACACATAAACACACATACACAAGAAACTAAAGTACAGCAGTTTTCTTTTTTTTTAAAGGTGGCAGGAACTTGAGGATCCAGGGTCAAGGTTGACCTCTGGTTCCAATACTCACACATACATGCACATGTGCCCTACACACACACACACACACACAGAGCACACGCATACACACAAAATAAAATAAAAAAATAAAACCTACTTTGACTGCAGATACGGACTCAGATGAAGATGATGAAGACTTCTTGAAGAACGAGTGGTCTGCCCAAGGCCCCTCTAGCTCCAAACTGACCTCATCCCTCCTGTGTGGCATGGTGACCAAGAACAGCCAGCCAGCCACAGGCCCTAAGCTGACCAAGAGGAGCCTGGCAGGCCCCCGGACTTTGAAACCCAAGGCGGCCACCGGCAGGAAGCAGTCCTTTTGTTTGCTGCTCCGAGAGGCCCACTCCTCCCTCAGCGACTCTTCCGAGGAGGACTCCTTTGATCAAGGTTACTAGCGCCAAACACAAAATAACCTTCCATGTTTTTAGAGCGAGAGTGAGTGGGAGAGAGCGAGGAAGCGAGCGTTCGAGTGTGTGCACACAGCAGGGATGGCTGTCGCCGTCTAGGTTTTTGGCAGCGTAGTCTGCCTTATCCGCCTATATTTTTTGTGTTCGCTTTTTATCTTTACTTAAACTTGTGATAGCACCACTGGCCACCCCTTAGGGAGCTCTTACACGGACTTGTTTTTAGTCTCCCGGAATTTCTCTCCCTCCTCTTGCTGCACTCCACTGGCCCTCCCCAAGGGTCTCCCCTCCCCCAATCCCGAAGCCTAACCTTGCCCTCCCCCAAACCCCCAGGCCGGCCTGGGCTTTCTCTTGGCATGAGCCTGGCGGAGGCTTGCCCAAGGAGCATTTTGTAAAAACGGACTTCTTGTGTGGGCGTGTGACTTGATGTTTGTACTGCGATTTTGGTAATGCCAAGCTTTATTAAACATACCGAGTTCATTTTTAACTAAACTGTGTGCCTCGTTTCTCTTGCTATGTCCTTAACTAGACATTAGGTTGCCATTTCCCCTTCATTCATTCCTCCTCCTCCCTCCTCTCTTCCCGTTCCTTCTCCCTACTCCAGAAGCCATAGACATGGGTGGACTGCTTTTCTGTTATTCAAATATCCCTGGTATCTTTGGCATCCATTCCATTTTTCAGGTGTACAGTCAAGTGTTGTTTCATCTATCTGTTTTTTTGTTTTTGTTTTTTTTCCTTTTATGCTGCTTGTCTGTGTTTTATTTTTCTGGAAGCTTCTGCTACTACCCACCAGTGGTTTAAAAAAAAAAAAAGCAAGAACAACAATTACCTTACCAATACTTGTTTGCTAACACATATTTCTGTTTTGAAGGGCATGCGGGCAGCACAGAGTCAAGGCTTTTGGCCATCTCGTTGATTTTTGTTTTCTTTTTTGTTTTCCTTGTTCGATTTGAAATCGTTGGCTTGGTTGCCACGTTGAAGGTCAAAAATGGTCTTCCTTGGAGGTTGCTGGCCTCAAGTCCACACCAAAGAATATTCTGGCTCCCGCTTTTCCAACATCAGAGTTGTAGCCTGCAGTTAGAAATTTCAGAGCCCTCAGGCCCTTCAATCAGAAAATGTCCCTGACTAGGGGCTGCTTCAGGGTAAACTCCTTTTAGAGCTAGAGCAACACGTTGCCCATTACCCAGTATAGCCCCAGATGTGTGGGGGGGGGGTCATAGGAGGGTCTACCCTGGGGCCAGGATTCCATCCCTGTCTTCCTGCTCAGCTCCCCCCCCCCCCCACCTGCCTTCCAGATTGGCAGAGATGGGTTTTGGGTTGGCTGAGTGATGGCACAGAAGAGCCTGGTGCCTTATGGGGCTGTCCCTGAAGTATCTGAGCCAAGACAGCCTGGGCTGCAAAGACAGTCTGCCTGTCCTGTCACAGGCCTCCTCTCCCTGGTCTTCTGTGGATGAGACTGATTGGCCCCTTACTCCCTCCCTGTGACTTGGGGTTGGGTACCTCTGCCCTTCCCTACAAGCCTTTAAAGTCAGGGTCCCAGCCCCAAAGTTTTTGAGCCCTTCCTGCCCCACCACAGACCACACAGAGGCAGGTATCCCGGTCTCCTGGACAGTGCCGAGGGACCACACATAGCCCAGACAGGATTTGGGGGGGGGTGAGGGCCACCTTGCCCCTGACATTCAGAGCAAAACCAGCTGGTGAGGTCTCAGAAAGGGATATTTGGGTAATAGGACCTTCCTGCCCCTTTGGTACTAAAACATTAATTGGCGTGGCTTTTCTAGTATGTCTGCTTTCTCCTCCCAGCAGCTTGACCATCCCTCCAACCCTTGACCCCTACCCATGATGCTTTGAGTGTCTGTTTTGGTCTCTCGCATTTGCTCTCACGCTGCACTTGGACGCAAAGCGAAGGCTGGGAGTAGGGCAGACGGCGTAGCGGGTTACTGAGTTTGAGTCCGAGCCTGGCTCGTTGCTCCGTAGGTAGGCAAAAACCATTTTCCTTCTCTATTCTCTGTTACTCCCCCCCTCGGGGTCTGCCCCCACCGGGATCGGCAGCAGCACTTCACTTTGGCCTTTATCAGGGACTTTTGGGAAGTCAAAGAACCCAACCCCTTGCCCTGAGCCAGGATTTTAAAAAATACCTATATTGACATTGAAGTCGCCCCCCCCCCCCCCTTCATGCCCTTGAGAGTCTTTGTTGGGACCTTTCTCCCCCTCTACCCTTGGCAAGCTCTGTGGATCCAGGTATAGACAACTCCAGAAATTCTTGACACTACTTTCCCCTTCAAGGTCTCTCAGCTCTCCTTGTCCTCATAGACGCTGGTCCAACCAGACCAGACACTGCATGATCTTGACAAGCACCCCAGTTGTGAGGCCCACAGGACACCTCAGGATAATCCAGTTTTCCCTCTTGGGGAAAAATAAAAAATAAAAACACCTGTTCTGGACTTCTGCCTTCTGGAATGTTCTGCCACATACATACAAGTACTGAGACCAACCTGCTCCTGGCTTTCTGGGGTCTGACTGTGACTTTCAGAAACCCAGAGCAGGGATTCAAACTCGCCTCCCTGATGGTGATGCCTACTGCCCCACAATCCTAGGAAGAATGTTCTGGACTTGCAGTCTGCACAACGGAGCAGCCAGGACAGAGGGGGAGTTTTTAGAAAGGGAAATTCCCAGTCCTCATCCCAGCCAGCCACCTTCCCCATCCCCTGCCCACCCTACCCAAATTGGCCAACTCCAGGGAGGCCTGATGTGGGGTTTACCCAGGCGCTGCCGAAAAAGTCTGCCTACACTTAGCCTGCTTTGCCGCTGTGGCCCACTGGGGCGGAGACAGAACCATGTGACGTCGCAATGTGATTGATCGCAAGTGCGCACTGCCTGCCTGCCCCTGCCTGCCCCGCTGGCATCCCCAGCCTGCTTCATCCATCACTCTGGGGACACTCCCACCTCGCAGCCACTTAACCTCTCTCGCTCTCTCTTTCTCTCCCTCTCTCTGTCTGCTTCCCTCTCTCCAGCCCCTGTGCATACCCTCTTTAGCTATTCCCACTCCCTTCCCTCCTCTCCCGGCTGGCTGCCCCGGCAGAAACTAGGATTCCCTGCCCTGGGGAATAGGTGGGTTAGACCTCTACCCTCCGGCACTCCTGGTGCCGTCTGCAGTCACTCGTTCCTCTAACAAAGCAGGAAAAGCAGTGTTGGACCACCATGTCCCAACCCTCACATCTAAGATGTGTGTATCTTGTCATTGCCTCTTGGCCCTACTTGGGCGCCAGTGCACAAGCCCTTGAGGCATGTCAGGCCTGGTGCCACCTGCTCCCTGGTACCATTTCCCTTTGAAGGTCATAAGCCAGCCTGTACTTTAGGGTGTCCTCACTTTCGGGTTGGAGAATTTGGTTACATGCCTACAGTAGTTCAGAATTGCATTGTTTTCTGCCATCCCGTTGCCCAGCCTAGCAGGGGACACCAGCCCTTGAGCCAGAAGGCCAGTAGTTGCTGGGCTGAAGTTGTCTTCTTACCAGCAGAGAGCTGGACTGGACATCTTTATCCTGCACTGCTGCCTGAAGGCTCGACCTTGGGGGGGGTGGGGGGCTCACCTCCCTACTCCTGAATGGTCTGGTCTGCCCACTCCCAGGGCATTTGGAGCCCAGATCCATAGTTGACACTGTTTCTTTTTCTTTTTGAAACTGGGACTCACTATGTAGCCCAGGCTGGCTTTGAATTCACAATCCCCCTGCCTCAGCCTCAACGTTTGAATCACAGGCATGTGCCACCACACCAGGCCGTGCCACATGGGATCCTATGTGGACCTTCTTAACCAGGCTGGTGGGCTGGAGGGTCACCTCAGGCTCAGAGAGTCTCCCTGACGAGGGGAGTGTTAGATTTTAGCTCTGCTTAGGGATTTATCTACAAAGGTCCCCTAGTCTCCAGGAAGGAGAGATAAACTGCTTTCTGCCAACAGCCCCCCCCCCCCGCCCTTCCCCCTGACCTCTTCCTGTCCAAAATGCTATAGGCCCCTTGTCTAGATCCCTCAGCCTAAGCCCAGCCCTCCCTCTCCTTCTCTCCTCTGCCTCTCCGTTCTTTCCTGTTTCCTTCCTCAGCCTCCATGTCTATGTCGGGGCGTGTGTGCGTGTGTGTGGACCGTGACGAGCGCTGTCTCCTGTCTTTGTCTGTGTGTCTGTCCCCCCACCCACAGCACAGGTGCATGTTGGTGCTGCCCTCCCAGAAGCCCATCCCGACACCCAGAGCCTCCCCTCTCCCTTTCCCAGACCGCCCAGGCTGCCCCTGTGTGGCTTTGGGCCATGGGTGGGACTGTGGGCTGGTTCTGGACCCTCCCCCAGCGGCCCTTGGTGAGGACAGAGACTGGAGCCAGGGTGGGTGGTGGGAGGAGGTAGGGGCAGCTTGTGCCCAGGTCAGGGCCTTGATTTGTTCCTTGTTTTCTGCATGCCAGATGACAGCTCAGAAGAGGATGAGGAGGAAGAGCTGGAGGAGGAGGAGGACGAAGAGGAAGCCGTTGGTAGCTATAGGCTGGGTGCCGGGGAACAGGCCCTGTCGCCGAGCCTGGAGGAGAGCGGGCTGGGTCTGCTGGCTCGCTTTGCGGCCAGCGCCCTCCCCAGCCCTGTTGTGGGGCCACCCCTGTCTGTGGTGCAGCTGGAAGCTGAGCAGAAGGCCCGCAAGAAGGAGGAACGGCAGAGCTTGATGGGTGAGTGTCACTGGCTGTGAGGTGGGTACTATGGACCCATCACAAAGATGAGGAGACTGAGGCTCAGCGGTGGCTGGGAGGACTGGGTGGAGCTTGTGTCACCTGACTCAACCTTTACTAGAACAGAGGAGGGCTGATGTCCCTCTTGGGCTGTTAACCGTCTAGGATAGGGGCCCTTGGTCACGTAAGAATAGTTTTCTTCAGGTGGGCATTGGTGGCTCACACCTTTAATCCCAGCACTCTGGTAGCAGAGGCAGACGGATCTCTGTGAGTTCCAGGGCAGCCTGCAAAGCCACAGAGAAACCCTGTCACGAAAAACAAAAACAAACAAACAAAGAATAGCTTTCTTCACCTTCATGCTATCATTAAAGATACTGGTATCTTGAGGGTCTCCAGGAGCTCAGGGAAGGCCCTGACCCAGGCTTGGGGAGCAGAGGCCACTCTAGGCTAGCAATCTCTAGCTAGGGGAGAGAAAGAGTGGCGGAGAGGGTGCAGAAGGAGGAAAAGGGGAAGCATTGTGTGTCCGAGTCACTGGAGAAGGTTTGTGTGTCTGGTAGGGCAGAGGGGTGAGTGGCCTCTGTGGCCTGAAGCTGGCAGCTGGAAGAGCCAGGCTTGGCAGGCTGTCTTAGTGGGCTCAGGGCATGACAGGATTGGGGCCTCGCTTCCGTGAGTTCAGGCCATGTGTCCCTGATGAGCCCCAAGTGTGCTTTCCCCAGTCACCAGATCCACGTGGTTCCTGGGGCTGGTGATAATGTAGCTCAGCCAACAGGGAGCTTGCTTGGCCTGCACAGAACCCTGCACTCTGTGTGTGTCCAGCTTTGATAAACCAGATATGGTTGTGTATGCCTGTAATCCCAGCACTTGGGAGGCAGGAGGACGACCAGTAGTTCAAGATCATCTTCAGGTATAACACAGCGAGCTGAAGTTGGAGGCCAGCCTAGGATATATGAGTCCCTGTCTCATGGTGGCCGCAGAGAAGGCATGAGGCCTATCTGGCTGGCAGAGGCTGTGGCAAGGAGTGTTCCCGGAGATGCTCCCAAGTCATCCCCAGTTCTCCTGCCAACAGCACCTTCTTTTGACCCTAAAATTCACCACCAATTGCCCTGCCGTCTTGAGGCTTTTACGTTTGCTATACCTTGTTCTCCAGTGTGGTGCCAGCGCCACAAGCAACTCCAAGGTATCAGGGAAAGAAAGACCAGACGTCCAGCTGTTTGTACTAAGAGAATGCATGTGCTGCCTTTATTGCCAGGTGTGTGTGTGTGTGTCTTCATTGCAAGTGCTTGTAAGAGGGAGGAGCTTTATATACAGGTTTACAGCACAGTGGAAAAACCCCAGGTAGAAGAGATCGTTGTTTTCCTCCTGCTGAATGTTGATGTCAGAGGGTCAAGGCCAGGGCAGTAAGCCAGGGCTAGAAAACAGAAAGCACTTGGACTGGAAAACAAGTTGCCCTTGTAGGCTGACCAGCAACTCACGGAGACCCCATGGGACTGGGGCCCAACACTCCAGGTGTCAGGTATTTTGACATACATGTCAAACCACTATCATTTGTTTCCGTAGGTGATCATTTATTTATTTTCTAACAGCTGCACATGTATAAAAGCAGTGTATCTACACAAAAACGGGGGGGCAGTGTGTCTTGGTCATACATACCACCACTCAAATTATTATTTAAAAACATTATTTTTAACTGTACTTTTATTTGCTTTCTAAGTGTCTGGGTGTGTACCTGCCACAGCAGGCACGCTGAGCTCAGAGCTCCTGGGAATTGTACTCAGGTTGTCGGGCTTGGTGGCAGGCGGGCACCTTTTTCTGATGAGCCGTCTTGTTCATCTCCCAGTTGTTTGTTCGTGCATCTCCGACCCTTCCTCTATTTTCCTGGCGTGTAGTTTGCTCAGGTCTTGTCTCTTGAGTGTGAAGCCTCCTGGAAATTGTACCAAAATTATCCTGAGCCTGAATCTTCCTTTTCTTGGATTTAAGGCCTTGGGGCATTTGAATAATGTATGAAGATTGTCTGGAGCTTGGGGCGTCATTCTCTGAACCCGACACAATGCAGGCCACCTCTCCTCCCATTCCATCGGGGTATCCTACATCCAGTTTTCTCCACTGTCAGCTTCGAGCTTCAAAAGGAAACCTTCCCACTAGGGCAGCTCTATCCAGAACATTCTCTGGTCCAGCCAGTCAAGCATGATTTTGAGCGGCCAATAAAGATCGCAGATGTTTTAGTCTCTTAGAGTCTTCTGTTGGGTCATATCATCACCTGCAAGTACTAGCAAAGGTTTCCCTCATCAGGCCAGTTTACTCTTAATGATTTTTAGAGGCACAAGCTTCTCAATACCTACTCAGTCATATCCACACGCAGTGTCAAACATACAGCCCGTTACTAGACCACTAGACTGAGTCTTACCATGGAAGCAATGAGTGGAGAAGAAGACCCCTCTCCAAGAACAGCAAGCTCTCTTAACTGCTGGACACTCTCTCCGACCCACATTTTTATGGATCTTTCGCCCTTGTGTATGTGCACCACTTAGGGCAGATGAGAGCGTCAGGTTCCATGGAGATAGATGGAGTTACAGTTGATTGTGAACCAAACTCAGGTCCTCTGGAAGAGCAACAGATATTCTTAACCACTGAGCCATCTCTCCAGCCACTGCCCCCCTCCCCACCCCCATACTCTTAATGTCTTTAGGGTCTGTAGTAATTTGTCTTCTTTTATTACCGATACATACACCCCTTGAGTTTGGATATAACTTGCCTGTTGCATTAATCCCCCATTTCTTCCATTCTTTTCCTTCCTTTCTTTCTTTCTTTCTTTCTTTCTTTCTTTCTTTCTTTCTTTCTTTCTTTCTTTCTTTCTTCTTTTTCTTTTCTTTTTTCGAGACAGGGTTTTTCTGTGGCTTTGGAGGCTGTCCTGGAACTAGCTCTTATAGACCAGGCTGGTCTCGAACTCACAGAGATCCACCTGCCTCTGCCTCCCAAGTGCTGGGATTAAAGGCGTGCGCCACCACCGCCCACTCTTCCATTCTTTTTTACATTTATTTTGTGTGTTTGTATGTGTGTATGGACTTGCCATGGTGCTTGTGTGAAGACCGGAAGACAGCTCTTGGGCCGGGCGTTGGTGGCGCACGCCTTTAATCCCAGCACTCGGGAGGTAGAGGCAGGTGGATCTCTGTGAGTTCGAGGCCGGGCTGGACCGATAGCCTCCAAAACAATACAGAGAAACCCTGTCTCGTAAAAACCAAAAAAAAAAAAAAAAAAAAAAAAAAGAAGAAGAAGACAGCTCGTGGGAGTTGGTTCTCTCCACAGCGTGGGTCTCGGGTTGGATTCAGGTTGTTAGACCGGACGGCAAGCTTCCTTACTTGCTGAACCAGCACGACAGCCTGTGTCCATTGATCTCTGTTCTTTGCTTCCTTCCTTCTTTTTTCTTTGGGTATGTCAGTCATTTGTAGTCACTTCCTGTTTTGCAGGGTAGACACTCGGGTGGGTGATTTGAGATCTTATTCTTTTCCAATAGGAACATTGTTCAAAACACAGCTTGGGATGTGTCTCACACATGTTGATGCTTTTGGGAATGGATTCTCATTACTCGGGAGTCGTAAATATCTCTTGTGACTCAGACGTTTGAGGGTGGCTGCTTGGCCGTCCTTCGGTTCTTGGCTCAGATCCCATTCTAGTTGGAAAACACATTATTACTTCAATGAAAAGACAGTTAACCTGAAGTAAACACGGAATGCGTACTGACATTATATTGACTGTTAGCCACACCACTGTGATTCTGTGTATTCAGGCTTACTATTTTCATCATTTTGCTAGAGATACGTGCTAAGATCTGCAACTTCAATTTGCAGAATTTGATACTGCTTCTTTTAATTCTGCCAAATTTTGCTTTACATATTTCTAGCTCTGTTATTGAGTGCATACAGGTTTTTGATTATTTTGTTACCCTCTTTATCATCATTGTTAAAAAGCATTCCTTTCACCGGGCGGTGGTGGCCCACACCTTTAATCCCAGCACTCGGGAGGCAGAGGCAGGTGGATCTCTGTGAGGCAGAGGCAGGTGGATCTCTGTGAGTTCGAGGACAGCCTGGTCTACAAGAGCGAGTTCCAGGACAGCCTCCAAAAACATAAAGAAACCCTGTCTTGGAGAAAAAAAAAAAAGCATTCCTTTCTTCTGCCTGGGAATACATCTTGTTCTAAAATCCACTTTTATCTGCTATTACATAGCCATTCTGGTGTTCTTTGACTTTTCACAAATGTGTTATTGTGTAGGTGATGTGTCCATGTGACCGCGTGTCACAGTGTGCATGATGGAATGCGAGAACTGACTCCTGAAAGTTGTCTTCTGCCCTCTGTACATGTGCTGTGCATACACCTGCCCTCCCTCCCAATCCTCTTGTTCTAACCAGCTATTTCTTTCTGTCTTTCTGGATTTACCTATTTCTGATGCTGTGTAGAAATGAGGCCCTGTAACACATGGCCTTCTGTGTTTTGGCATCTTTCATTCACCACAATGGTTTTTGAAGTTCATCTGTGTGGTAATAGTTGCTAGCACCTCATTGTGTTTTATAAGCCGCATGGTACATCTCCATACCACATCTACTTGTTAGTTGATGCATATTTGAGTTGTTTCCATTTTTAGGCGTTTATAGCTAATAGTGCATTAAATGTCTGTGCAGGTGGTTTTTTTAATGTGTGAGGAAATGTTTTTAATTCATCTGTACTGGAGTTGAGTGATTTGGGAAGTTCGTTTAGCCTTTTGAGGGACTAATAATCCTTACCTTTTTGTTTCTGAAGATTTATTTTTTTAAGTGTGTGTGTGTAGAGAGACAGAGACAGAGGTGTGTGTGGAGAGAGAGGGAGGGAGAGGGAGGGAGGGAGGGAGAGAGAGAGAGAATGTGTGGTTAGGTTATTATGAGCCTCCCATATGGGTGCTAGGAACTGTACTTGGGTCCTCTGCAAGAGTGGTGTATGTGCATGACTTCTGAACCATCTTTCCAGCCCTGTTTATTTCTTTTTAGGTGTGTGTGTGTGTGTGTGTGTGTGTGTGTGTGTGTGTGTGTGCTTGCCACTGCCTGCATGTGGAGTTCAGAGGACAACTTTATAGGTTGTTTCCACCCTCCACCTTTGCATGGGTCCTGGGGATCAAGCTAAGTTGACTAAGCTTGTGCAACAAGGGATTTAACCCATTGAACTATCTTGCTGTCTATTCTAGTGGCATTCCTGTTGCTGTGAGAAACTATCCTGATAAAGACAATTAGAGAGGAAAAAAGTTTATTGTAGCTCACAGTTCCAGTTTACAGTCCATCAAAGCAGGACAGGGACAGTCAAGATGGCAGGAATATCACGTAGCTGATCACATTTCAGTCACAGTTAAGAGCAGGGAGAAAAAAACGAATGCATGAGCTTTGGTGTGTGGCTTACTTACTCCTGTGTAGGGAATAGTACCACCCCACAGACGAGCCTGATCCAGAGAGTCCCTCCTGAGGCTCTTTCCCAGCGATCACAGCTGCGTCGACCTGTAAGGACCGGTCTTAATCAGCTCCTTTCAGCTCTTCAGCAAATTTCTTATTTCCAATACTGCAGTTTCCAGTTAATTGTTTCTATGATGGTCTTATTTCTTCAGTGAAACTTCCATGCATTGGAAACTGATGTTGGGCTGAGAATTTGGCTCAGTAAGTATAGACTATTTAGCATGCACAGAGCTCTGTGTTTCACCCACACATAAGTAGGTGCGATGGTGAGCATTGCTCTAGAGGTGGAGGCAGGTGGATCAGAAGTTCAGGGTCATCCTGACGCAGTGAGTTTGACGCTGACATGGGTAACCTGAGGCAGGGGCAGGGGTTGGGATAGGAGTTGGCTTCTTGCTCTCATTCTGTAGCCCAGGCTGGCCTGAAACTTGGGGTTCTTCCTGCCTTAGCTTCCCAGGTGCTCAGGTTACAGGCATAAGTCACCATGCCTTAGCTGCTGTGGCATCGTCAAGAGCTCATCTTAGGGTCAGGTTCTTCATGTCTGCTTTGTCAAGGGAGTGTGAGTTTGTGTCTCAAGCATTATGGACGAGAAGTTGCTCAAAGTGAGACCTTTATTTTTTTTTCTCTTCTCTCAGTAAATGGAGACTTAACAGGGCTAGTGTGGTCTCTCTAGTTTTTTTTTTTTCAAGTTGTGCATGTGGTGTGCAGAGGCTGGAGGATAGCATCCAGTGTGTTCCTCAGGTACTCTCCACCTTTTCTGAGACTGCACCTCTCACTGACTGGAACTCCCTAAGTAGGCTAGGCCAGAGCCCCTGTCTCTGCACCCGCAGCTCTTGGGTTACAAGTCACTACCATACCTGGTTTTTTTACATAGGTGCTGGGAATTGAACTCCAGTCCTTGAGCTTTCTCCCTGGCTTCCAGGTCAGGTTTTGTTGTCATTCCAGCTGCTTGGGATCTGTCCTGTGGCTGGTTGGTCGCAGGGCTCATTCACAGGTGTGCCTAGGCCCCTCTTCTACTCTTTTCTTTAGGTCTCTCTTTCCTGATTTCTCAGATTAGGATTCATTTCTTTTGCGCACACACCCCGTACTTCCTGCGTGCCCCCGATTCCTGAGTAGGGGTGCAGGCGGAGGTCCGAGCCTTGTGGCTGCATGCTTTTCTTCTAAGAGCACTGTCTCCAGTGGTCTAGTGTTTCCACAAAGGGGCTGCACATTGAGGATGACCTTGAACTCCAGTCCTCCTTCCTCTGCCTCCCAAGTGCTGAGATTATAGGCCTCCACTACCAGGCAGGTTTTATGCTCTGCTGGGGATGGAACCCAGGACTTTGTGTAGGCTAGGTAGGCTAGCAACTCTTTTTTGCTGATTTTTGTTGTTGTTGTTTGAGACATCGTTTCTCTGTATAGCCCTGGCTGTCCTGGAACTCTCTCTGTAGACCAGGCTGACCTCAAACACAGAGCTTCACCGGCCTCTGCCTCCCGAGTGCTGGGATTAAAGGCGGGCGCCACCACCGCCCAGCTGTAGGCAGCTCTTGACTACTGTGCCACACTCCAGAACTGCCAAAGCTCAACAAGCCTGAGGTCCAAGGCCTGAGCCCTCCTCATGTACAGGAATGCCCCCCTCCCTCCACCTCCAGCTGCATCCCTGTCATGTCATCAGGGAGACGCTTATTAACAAGTTAACTAACATGACCTTTAAGCTTTGGAGGGACGTCTCACAAGCACCCCCATCCCTGCCACTGTGGCTGCCTCTGAGAGGGCTGTGCCTCCCATGGGGGTCCCTGTGAACAGACTGTCTGGGTGTCAGTGGGGTTGGGCCCTCAACTCCCCTGCTGGGGGCTGCTAGCCTTCTAGGGGACTGTCAACCAGATAGGCTATCTGGTCTGTGAGGTGATAGACATATCTTTTAGCCTTTGTTTCAAAGGGACATGCCACCAACTGAGCTCCTAGAATGCTTCCCCTGGGTGCTGGCTCTGTGCTTAATTTGAGGTTTTGGGACAGGAGAGACCTCAAGAGAACTCAACTTTTTCAGGCCAGGGCAGGCTGGGATAGGGCACAGCATGGATGGAGACGCTAGAAGTTTGGGGAAGGACTGTTTTGATGGCAGAGGAGCTGTGAACAGAGAGGGAACACCCTGGGGATCGGGTGGTTGTAGCATTCCTGTGTTTCCCAGGTCAAGGTTGTTGTGCCCTGGGCTGAGAGAACAGAGTCTTACAGATCCAGGGAATAAGGAAGAGGGTCACCTGAGGATGAGGGGAGGGGCGTTTGAGGAGCCTCCCAGCAAGGAGTGGGCCTGGGTGATTAAGGACCCCAAGAGCAGGAAGGGAATCCGTCAGAGGGTAGGAAGATGGGCCTCAGGCTTGGCTGTCTCCACTGCCCATGCAGCCCTCATGCCAACCTGCCTGGTTCTGGGTTTTTCTGAGAGGTGGTAGAGGCATATGTGGGCCTCCATATTTTAGTAGTACTCTTGGGGTAAGGGGTGGGGAGCAGCCATGGGGTAGAGGAGAGGGGAGTTGGGTGAGCCCTTGTCTTTCTCTGAGCCTCAGTTTACCCCCTCCTACTAACAGGAGAGTGTGCTGCTGGGTGGGATGGGTCTCTGGATTTCTTGCTGGTGGCCTTGCAGGCCCAAGAACAGGAAGACCCGTGGTGACCCTACCCATCGGCCCCTACCTACTCTTCACCACATCCAGGTACAGAGTTCGAGTACACAGACTCAGAGGGTGAAGTCAAGGTTCCCAAGCAGACACCTGCTGGGCTGCTGCGGCCCAAGAAGGGGGTTGGGGAGCCAAGTCAGTCTGCGGCTGCCCCTGTCCCCGGCACCCGGGCCTCCGGTCCCACCAGCCCAGACAAAACCAAGCTGGCCTCAGAGAAGGGACGAAAAGCCCGGAAGATACGTGGCCCCAAGGAACCTGGCTTCGAGGCAGGGCCAGAGGCCAGTGATGATGACCTGTGGACGAGACGCCGGAGTGAGCGCATCTTCTTACACGATGCCTCGGCTGCAGTCCAGGCACCCAGCAACACAGCACCGGCACCCAAGCCCAGCCGATGTGGCAAGGGTGGTGCCCCGAGTCCACGCAAGGACACCGGCAGAGCCAAGGACAGGAAGGACCCCAGGAAGGTAAGGGTTCAGCACAGTTCCCCTGGTCTCCGTCCTGTGACTTTGAGGTTAGCAGTGTGCCCATGGAAGGTCCCACCATGTTTGATGATCAGGAGGAACCTGGCTTTCTCCTCCTGTTCCTGAAAGAGGGCCTGAATCTCTCACTCATCATCAAAGAATAAATCAATACCTGGGACCTGTGTTAACTCTAACAAAATAGCCAACACAATTTATAAAGAAAAGAGGTTTCTGGGTTAGGTGACTCTGATTATTGGATTAGTATTTGTGTGTGCACGTGTGTGTGGGTCTTTTGTGTGTGACATAGCACATGTGTGGAGGCCAAAGGTTGACTTAGTGGAGTCACTTCTCTCCTTTCACACATACGTGGGTTCTGATGATCAAAACACAGACCACCAGGTTTGTATGAAAAGCTGTTTGCCTCCCGAGCCATCTGATCATGTCTGGTTTAGTTTTTTTTTTGTTTTTTTTTTAAGATTTACTTATTTATTGTGTATACAGTGTTCTGCCTGCATGTCAGAAGAGGGCACCAGCTCTCGTTACAGATGGTTGTGAGCCACCATGTGGTTGCTGGGAATTGAACTCAGGACCTTGGGAAAAGAAGTCAGTGCTCTTAACCTCTGAGCCACCTCTCCAGCCCTCTGGTTTAGATTTTTAGACGGGATCTCCTATAGCCCAGGCTGGCCTTGAACTTTTGATCCGTCTGCCACTGCCACATGCATGTGTAGTCTCGAGGTTTGAAGCAGAGGTTCAGTGTGCTTATTCCTGAGCAAGCCTTCAGCAGACGTTTGTAATGGCAGCAGGTGTGGGTGCCGCCTTCTGTGTCAGTTTGTTGGACACCTAGGTTATTTCCAGTTCTTCATTTGGATGTCCCTGTTTGAAAGAAGTTGGCTAGTTCCCACCCACCTGCAGGGGGTGTGCCTAGATCTCTATACTGAGATACCCAGCAGGAGGAGCCTTCGCTGCAGTCTGGGAAGTCTCACACATCCGCAGGTGGCCGGGCAGCAGCTAAGCCATTTTAAATGCCCTTCCGGGAACATTGCTGCTAGAACTCATTGGTAAGGTTTTATTGTTGTTCTTGTTGGGTTTTGATAGCATTTGGATGTGTACTTAAATAAAGCTAGTCCCGCCATACCATGGGACAGTCCTCAGCAAAACAGAGCCTCTGTAGATAAATACCAGTGGTGCTTGGAGGGGACATTTCTTATAGGACTTTAGTGAATCTTTGTTGAACAAAACAAAATATAGAGTGATTGCCTATATCTCTAGGCCTAGGCCTAGAATCCCCCAGGGAGGGGCTGGGGTGTGACTCAGTGGTAGAATACCTGCCTAGAATCCCCCAGTAAGGGGCTAGAGACACAGCTTAGCAGTAAAACCCCCACCTAATGTGCCCAAGGCTCTGAGTTTATGAAACATCCCCAGTAAAGAAAACAGAAAGTTAATACGTGAATGTTTCTGCGTGGTTACCTGGCTGTGTGCACCTGTGGGAAGTTCTGTAATGATATACAGGCTGCCAATAGAAGGGTTGTGGTAGAAACTCTCAGATTTTAGCACGTCTTATGTTTGTCTATTGGTACAATAAATTACACAATAATGGTAGAAACTAATTGTGAGGGCTGGCACGATGGCTCGGTGTGTAAAGCCTGTCAGTTAGTGTGATCCTATGCCTGACGATTGCCTCCCTGAGTTCAATTCCCAGACCCTGTGTTGTGGGAGGAGAGAAGTGACTCTGGCAGGCTGTCCTCTGCCCATCACATGCACATTTGGCACAAACATGCCCTCATTCACACACATACATGCACACGCACACATAGTAAACGTAAAAAACTTAATAAAAAATAACGAGCTGGGCGTTGGTGGCGCACGCCTTTAATCCCAGCACTCAGGAGGCAGAGGCAGGCGGATCTCTGTGAGTTCGAGGCCAGCCTGGTCTACAGAGCGAGTTCCAGGACAGCCTCCAAAGCCACAGAGAAACCCTGTCTCGAAAAACCAAAACAAAAAACAAAAAAGTAAAATAAAAAAACTGGAGATGAAAATCTAGAACACTAGTATGATGGAGAGAGGAGTGTCAGCCCTGACTCGGGTGTGACGTGGCGAGAGTCCCATGGGCATGGGAGGTGCTCCACTATCAGGGACCCTGCAAGCTTCAGGGCTTGCGGGGAAGAGATTCATGCAAGGTGAAGAATGGAACTCGTTTATTTCTCTTACCTGTGTAAACACAGTAAAACTTGAAAGAGATTTCTTCCACATGACAATCATCACAACAAAGCTTCCGGGATGGCTACATCTAACCAGCAAAGCACCTGTGTGGGCTTTGCCGTAAGAATGAGTTCTATTGGCTGAGAAACAGAGCTCAGGGCTAGGGCCTAGGGGATTGTAATAAGCACAGGGATGAATTCTGCGGATGGAGGGTGCAGAGCACCTGGGACCTTTCATAAGGAAGGGTTCTCTTCACTGGGAGACAAAGCTCAGGATAAGGGCCTAAACAATGCTCAGGATATTGGGGGATTTGGGAAGGCTGGCTCCATAGAATAGCAAAAGTCCACCAGGTTGTTAGACAACATCCACCCCAGCCTCCCAGGTGGAAAGGTGTCAATCATTTTCTTCCTTAAGAGAAAAGGCCTGGGCAGAGGCAGATGGATCTCTGTGAGTTTGAGGCCAGCCTGGTCTATAGAGCGAGTTCCAGGACAACCAGGGCTATACAGAGAAGCCCTGTCTTAAAACCAAAAGGAAAATATATTCAAGCAGCTTAAGAACAGAATAGGATCTGAAGCTACAGATGTTTGCTAATAAGCCAAATTCTCATGCTTTCTTTCTTTAAAACATTTTTCTATTTGTGCACATCAGTTCATTTGTTATAGTAAATAAAGGTAATTTGAATTAAAAAAAAAAAGAGAGAGAAAAGGCCTGGACTTTCTAACATGTTCTGGGAGCTGCATCTCCCTCACCCGCCTCCTCGCCCGAGCAGCTGGGCCCTCCATGCCCTCTGACAACTCTACCTTCTGTTTTCTCTTCTAGAAGAAGAAGGGGAAAGAGGCTGGGTCAGCAACCACGCTGCCGCCAGCCCGTGTTCCTGCCTTGTCTGACTCCAGGGCACCTCACACAGGGCCCCTGGCCACTGCCAAACGGAGCAAGGCCAAGGCCAAAGGGAAGGAGGTGAAGAAGGAGGTAAATTGAGGCTGGATCGGGGCTCAGTTCCAGGAGTGGGCATCAGTGCCCTCGGCCAAGCTTCCTATCTTATTGGGGCCTAGGGGCACCCACACTACTGCCCTGAGACCTGTTCCTCAGCAGTGCTCCCCTTGGGGACCCTAAGGCTTTTCTCTGCTGACAGAGGGCCATGGCGTGCCTGGCTGTGCCATCACCTACTCCCATCGCCCAGTTTTCCCTCAACTTCATTTTACGTGGCCACAGCTCAGTTTCTGCAAGGTTGTGGCCGAGGAGTCTGCTGTGGTAGCATGAGGAGGGCACTGAGCACTGAGGACCAGGTACCCGCTGAGTACACAAGGCTTGGGCTGCAGTGCTCATATTCGTGGCCTCTGCAAATTGATCATGGCCCTGGATTTCCAAGGAATGACAGGATGACCCGGGCCCTGTGCAAAACCATCAGTGTGCGTGTTCTCCCCAGAACCGAGGAAAAGGGGGTGCTGTGAGTAAACTGATGGAGTGTATGGCAGCAGAGGAGGACTTTGAACCCAACCAGGACTCGAGCTTCTCTGAGGATGAGCACTTGCCCCGAGGTGGGGTCACAGAGCGACCTTTGACTCCAGGTGGGTGTTGTGAGAGGGTGGGTCGGTGTGTGCGCACGGCTTCCCTGGAAATGTTTAGACTGAGGCCGGGGCCGCTTCGCTCCAGCTTAGTCAGCCTGTGGTGTGGACAGGGAGGGATGGGTACTCAGATAACATGTTGACCTTGGGGTGGGCAAGGAGACACACACAGTGTCTCAGAGACATAGGTCTCCACATAAGGGCTCCATGTGTCTTACTATAAACCTGGCTGTGCAGGAGGCAGGGAGACAAGCAGGTAGCTACTGACAGCAAGCCGCAGCTACCTTTGGACAACATGGGGGTGGGGAACAGAGACAACTTAGAGGGTGATTGGAGTTAGGTGGGAGAATGAGTAGAATGTGGAGGTGGGTCGTGTGAACGGATACGTAAGGATGGAGGCGTGAAGAGGTGGGGCTGATGTTAGGGGCCCACAGAGGAGCTGTCTGTAAGGTGGGTCCCAGGAGTGTGAGCGGCCACACACTTGAGTTTGGTGGATACAGTTTAGAGGTGTTTTAAGGATGCCCTGAGGAGGTTACTTGGACCCCGGGGTCTGAGCTAGGAGGAGGGAAGCTGAATGCGAACTTTGGGGAGCAGGTTGGAAGAAGAGCTAGGCGATCACTGTTGGGATATCTTAGTCGTTCTGGCCTCACATATGTGTCTAGGTCACAGCACTTACCTCAGAGGCACTCTGAGGCCATGTGATGGGCCGTGAGGGTTCAAGCTACAGCACGTTGCCCCAATTGTCATGCCCTGTGCAGTACAAGGGTAGAGTGTTGCAGCCAGGGCCCAAGGGGTGGCTGAGACCCAGGAGGTCTCCCCTTCACTGTGTTCTCTGCTGGCCAAAGCACCTGGCACTCTCAAGCCCAGCTTTCGGTGTGTGGTGTTCCCACTGCCTGTGAGCATGCGTGTAGAAGCCCGTGGCACAGAGAAGTAGGTTTTTCTTCCATTGCTAGACTCCAGAGCTGCCTGATTTTATTTATTCATTTGAGCTTCACACAGGCTGAGCCACAACCTCAGCCAGTGTTTCCGGCTCCTTATTCTTGGATTTTAGGCAGGCAGTCTGGTGGAGCCACACCCCAAGCCCCACACAGGGAGAATCTAGGCAGGTGCTCTACCACTGAGCCACACCCCAGCACCTCACTGGGGGATTCTAGGCAGGAGCTCTACCACTGAGCCACATCCCAGCACCTCACTGGGAGATTCTAGGCAAGTGCTCTACCACTGAGCCACATCCCAGCCCCTCACTAGAAGAATCTAGGCAGGTGCTCTACCACTAAGCTCTGCCCTCAGCCTTTTTTCTAACTTTTCAAGGTAGAATTTCACTAAGTTGCCCCAGCTGGCCTTGAGCTTACTGTGTAGCTTGACCTGGCCTTGCACTTTGAGTCTTCCTGTCTCTTGCATCAGAGGAATGACAGACCACCATCACAGCCCCAGTTGGGCTCTTTTTCATGTTTGCCTCTGACAGGGTCTTTTTTTTTTTTTTTAAAGAGGCCAAGCTTTATTTCTCCTCAGCCATTTTTTAAAAAAAATTTTATTATGTATACGGTGTTCTGCCTGCATGTATATCTACATGTCAGAAGAGGGCACCAGATTTCATTACAGATAGTTGTGAGCCACCATGTGGTTGCTGGGAATTGAACTCAGGACCTCTGGAAGAGCAACCAGTGCTCTTAACCTCTGAGCCATCTCTCCAGCCCCTATGACAGGGTCTTACAGAGAAGGGAAAGGGAAGGACTAAGGAGACCTGGGGTGGGACGTCTGGGGGGGGGGGTTCAGGTGGGAAAAAACACCATTCTAGGGACATGGCAGAGGGGTCTGGGCTCAGTGTTGGGGGAAGGTATTCTTACCATCTGTTGGGGGCTTCACAGCCCGGGACCTTGAGTATTGATCTGTGGTATGAAAGAGTTTGCTATGGCTTTCATTTGTCTGAGGCCTTCCTAGTTGTCTGTAAAGGCTGGGAAGAGGGACTGCCCATCCCCCACCCCATGTGCACATGGGACCCAGTGTGTACGGGGACAGCCATGTGCACACACACACCCTGCAGCTTTTTCTGGACACCCCACAGCCTTCATTTCCTAGAGAGGGGGCCTGTGGTGTCCCGGGCAGGCCTGGGGTGGTTTTCCCTAGCATTCTCTGCTACCGGCTGGCTTCCCCTTCACCGCTCACCTCTCTGCAGCCCCCCGCTCCTGCATCATTGACAAGGACGAGCTGAAGGACGGCCTGCGTGTGCTGATTCCTATGGATGACAAGCTGCTGTATGCGGGGCATGTGCAGACCGTGCACTCACCCGACATGTGAGTGACTTCTGTGGGGTTCTGGCTCCGCTCCCACGTCCACGCCACTCTGAGCTGGGAGAGCAATAGTGTAGGGTTCTGAGGGGTCACTAAGGCCAGTAGCTAGGAGTTGCCCCAGGGTAGACCCCCAACCTCTGTTGGGTGGAGCTAGGCCTCTTGGGGCCCAGCAGGAAGTGGGGAAGTGAGGTGTGCAGCCCTCCTTTGGAATTGGGGGGGGGGGCTCTGGTTGGACATGCTTTCCAGCCCCTGAATTATATAAATGAGGAAGCTGGATTCAGGAAGAGGAGGAACCCAATCCACATGCACATAGTAAGTTAATAGACACCGAAGCAGAATCCCAGGGACCGGGCGGCAGAGCTGGCAGCGGTGGGTTTGGGGCAGCGCAGCCTCTGGAAGGGGCTTCTCTGGCCACTGCCCATCATACTTTTGGCTCTGGCCTTGCAGATACCGTGTGGTGGTGGAAGGTGAGCGTGGGAACCGTCCCCACATCTACTGCCTGGAGCAACTACTGCAGGAGGCGGTGAGTGGGAGAGGGAAGTTGACTGCAAGGTCTGGAGGGAGGGGCTGCGAGGCTGTGGCCTTGCTCCTGATCACTGCCTTCCTAGTCACCTTCTGACCCTCAGCCCTGCCCTCTACCAGATTATAGACGTGAGGCCGGCCTCTGCTCGCTTCCTGCCCCAGGGGACCAGGATCGCCGCCTACTGGAGCCAGCAATACCGCTGCCTCTATCCGGGCACGGTGGTCCGAGGTGAGGCACCCCTCCTCCCTAGATCACCCAGCTGCTAATCAGTCATCATCAGTTCATCTGGTCAATGTTGTAGAGGCAGTTGCTGGTCTCCATAACTAAACTCCAGGGAGGGCTTCCTGGAATGGCTTGATCCGGGTGCTATGCAGATGAAGTACACGGGCCTCAGGCTCTTGGCATCCCACCTGTGGCTACACACCAGCTTCTTGGGAAGGTTTTTTTTTCATGTCCACATATCCCATGGTCAGAGAATGTCTCACTCTCCTGGTTCCCCATGTAGGTCTGGGGTAGGGGTAGGGACTGACTTGGCTCATAAAGTGTAGGATTCCCCTCTCACACATTTGGTCCTTCCTCCCCAACTGGCCAGTGCCACGAGGCCTGTGTCTTTGAGAAATTGGACTCAGCATTTGCATATTGGGAAGGGGCTGGTGTGTCCCCATGTTCAGTCTAGAGCTGTGCGAATCTTTCCATTCATACTGCTTAGGCAAGCTCCTGCGCTAGGTATCGGGAACGCTTCCATTCTTGCCCTTGTTGGCCTCAACTCCTTCCAGACAAAGACAAAGCCAAAAGCATCCAGGCTTGGTGGCACAGGCCTGCCACCACAGGTACTGGGGAGGCTGAGGCAGTAGGATCACAAGGTCAAGGCCTCCCTGGGCTGCAGAGTGAGTTCAAGGCCAGTCTGGGCAACTTAAGTGAGGACCTGTCTCAAAAAATAAAAGTAAGCCGGGCGTTGGTGGCGCACGCCTTTAATCCCAGCACTCGGGAGGCAGAGACAGGCGGATCTTTGTGAGTTCAAGACCAGCCTGGTCTAGAAGAGCTAGTTCCAGGACAGCCTCCAAAGCCACAGAGAAACCCTGTCTCGAAAAACCAAATAAATAAATAAATAAATAAATGAAAGTAAAAGCAGAGCTGGGGATGTACTCGCCTGGTGTGCAGTGAGACTACAATCAGCTGTGACCGCCCCTGTGGAATCTTCTGGAATGTAGGCATACGTCTCACTTCCTGTCTTTGATATTCAGAGCTGATGTACTGCTCTGAATATGCTTTTGCAGAGCTGTTTTGGGGAGGGTCTTAGGTATGAGCAAACCCAGATACGTGCACAATCCGCCCTCTCTGCCCCCTAAAGTCTAAGACAGACAGCCAGAAATGAGAAAGCTGGCCCTCCGTCCATGACCTGTGTGGCTCGTAACACCCACATCTGGACAGTTGTGTGCACACCCCAGGGTCCTCTAAGGTAGTGCCTCTGTGAGCCGGGCTGCAGTCCCAGGAGGCCCCCTGACCTGCTTTACCCTCAGGGCTGCTGGACCTGGAAGATGACGGAGACCTGATCACCGTGGAGTTTGATGATGGGGACACAGGCAGGATTCCCCTCTCACACATCCGCCTCTTGCCACCTGACTATAAAATCCAGTGTGAGTGATGAACCTATGGCATGGGGGGGTGTCCCTGAGACCCCAGCTGGGCCCACACATCCGGGCCCTTGCCTGGCTACCCAGTAGCATATTTTACCTGCTTACTGTTACCCAGGTTCCCTCCACATGTCTCTGGGCTCAGTTTGGCATTTGATTCTCTCTTTTTTATTTATTTGCATTGCTGGGGCTGGAACCCAGGGTCTTGTACAAGCTAGCCAGGTGATCTACCACTGAGCCACACCCCCAGCTCCTTACTGGGGGATTCTAGGCAGGTGCTCTACCACTGAGCCACACCTCCAGTCCATCACTGTGGGATTCTAGGCAGCTGCTCTCCTCTACTGAACTATACCGCCAATCCCTCACTGCTGCATTCTAGCCAGTCTAAAGCTCTGAATGCTGGTGGGTGGGCAGGAAGCTTCTGCACGAAGATTCCCCTGAGCTCTACCACTGAGCCACACCTCCAGCACCAGAGGATTCTGGGCTCTACTGCTGAGCTCCCTAATGTGGTTTGGCTGCAGGGTCTCCCTTCTGCATGCCAAGAAGCCTGATCAGTAATACCTGAGCCACTGTCTGCTTTGTTCTGCAGGTGCTGAGCCGTCCCCGGCACTCCTGGTGCCCAGTGCAAAACGCCGTAGCAGGAAGACCAGCAAAGACACTGGGGAGAGCAAAGAAGGGGCCACCACAGGGCCTCAGGAGGCTACAGGAGCCAAGGCTCGAGGGCGAGGACGGAAACCCAGTGCCAAAGCCAAGGGCGGTAAGTTTTCTCTGACTTGGGAGGTACAAGGATGAGACCGCTGTTAGAATTGAATGCTGGGGCTTCCAGTGAATGACCAGTCTTTGTCTTGTGAGAATTCTGTGCTGTAGGGCAGTTTTGCCTGGTTCACTTACTGATTAGAGAAGTTGGCGAGCATTTGAAGGGCCTACCCTGGGGCTTACACAGGGAAGAGCCTTGCCTCCAGGTCCCTGCCCAGGGTTCCACAAAGGCTTTCTGACTAGGATCCCAGCTCATCCAACAGGAAGTCCCGCCTTTCTTCCAATACTCCTTCCAATTCCCTACCTTTGACCTCTGGTTGTGATCTCTCTATCAGACAGAGCTGCTGTCCTGGAGGAAGGGGCTGCCACAGACGAAGTCCCCAGTGCTCCCTTGGCCCTGGAGCCCATCAACACCCCAAGTTCCAAGAAGAGTCCCCCAGAACCAGTGGAAAAGCGAGCGAGAGCCCCCAAAGCTCGTTCAGTCTCTGCACAACCCAGCCCCATGCCACCCACCTTCTCCAACTGCCCAGCTCCTGAGCCCTTTGGGGAGCTGCCAGCCCCCACTGCAGCCCCACTCATCAACATGCCTGTCACCATGCCTGCCACGCGCCCCAAACCCAAGAAGGCTCGGACCGCTGAGGGGTCAGGTGCCAAAGGTCCCCGGAGGCCAGGGGAAGAGGATGAACTGCTTGTCAAACTGGACCATGAGGGGGTCATGTCCCCCAAAAGCAAGAAGGCCAAAGAGGCCCTGCTCTTGCGGGAAGATCCAGGGCCTGGGGGTTGGCCAGAGTCCACAGGGTTGCTCAGCCTGGGTAGCTACCCACCAGCTGTTGGCAACAGTGAGCCCAAGGCCACCTGGCCCAAGACTCTGGATGGAGACCTCACTCAGGAGCCTGGGCCAGGACTTCCTTTAGAGGATCCCGGCAACTCCAAGAACCCAGACAAGGCCCAGGCTGAGCAAGATGGGGCTGAGGAGTCAGAGACCACTAGCAGCAGCAGCAGCAGCAGCAGTAGCAGCAGTAGCAGCAGCAGCAGCAGCAGTAGCAGCAGTAGCAGCAGCAGCAGTAGCAGCAGCAGCAGCAGCAGCAGCAGCGGTTCTGAAACGGAAGGCGAGGAGGACACCGAGAAGAGCAGAGAGGACGGCCGGGGTGCAGGGGGCAGGACCTGCAGTGCCGCCAGCTCCCGGGCATCCTCTCCTGCCTCCTCCTCGTCCTCCTCCTCTTCCTCCTCCTCCTCGTCCTCCTCTTCCTCCTCCTCCTCCTCTTCTTCCTCTTCCTCGTCCTCTTCCTCCTCGTCCTCCTCTTCCTCTTCCACCACAGACGAGGACTCTTCCTGCAGCTCTGATGACGAAGCAGCCCCTGCACCTGCTGCCGGTCCCTCCACACAGCAGCCAGCGCTACCCACCAAGGTGTCCAAGCCACCTAGCAAGGCACGCTCCTCAGCTCACTCCCCAGGCAAGAAGGCACCTACTGTCACCCAGCCCCCACCCCAGCCCCCACCCCAGCCCCAGCAGACTCTGCCACCCAAGACCCAGGCTGGGGCTGGGGCCAAGAGCCGACCCAAGAAGAGAGAAGGCGTGCACTTGCCTACCACCAAGGAGCTGGCCAAGCGGCAGCGTCTGCCATCCGTGGAGAACCGACCTAAAATCGCTGCCTTCCTACCCGCCCGGCAGCTTTGGAAGTGGTTTGGCAAGCCCACTCAGGTAAATTTCCTGGAAGGGAACTATGGGTGCGGGTAGCCTTGAGTTCCAGAAGAGCTGGATTCCAAATCCATTTTAGTCCATAATCCATGTCCTGTAATAGCGTGGCCCTGCCTAACCTGTTCCATACTCTTCCCTTCGGAGCTCAAGTATGGTCACTGCAGGGACCCACACAGGCCCTCCTGCGACGCTAAGGTCAGAAGGAGGGGCCCTTCCAAGCCCTTCAGCAGCTTGCCTGCTTGTCATTGCACCTGCCTCAAGGTCAGCTGTCTTGAAACCTCAAGCTCAGAGAACTGAGGGCCAGTTCTTAGCAGCAAGCGACCAGAGTCAACACCTTTTGCCTGGCTCGCACCCTGTGTAGCCCCTGAGCTAAAAGTCCATGTGTGGTGCGCCGGGGGTCACGGGTCCCACCTCTATCATGACAGTCGGGGCTGGTCTTCCAGAAGCAGGTTGCCAGCACGCCCCACCCCCTACACGTACAGAAATTACACATACATGTATATGCGTGTGTCCACACCTGCTCGTGCAGGGGCACCAAGTGCTCACACAGATCTATATTCAGGCACATATGTGCATGCATGGGTGCTATTATGGAATGAATCTAAGCACGCCAACCCTCCCACCCCCCAACCAGCCACACACTACAACATGCTTCATCTGCATAGTGACGCCATGTCCGATGTTGTAGAAACTTGGGGACGGTGGTCCCTGGCTATAGGAAGTGAGTCACTGGTGGATCCCGCGTATGTTATTACCGGTCATTTTCTGCCTTCCTGGTGAGCTGTGAAGTGGGTAGTTTAGCCTCTGTCACATTCTCTCATTACCATGTGATCTGCCCCAGCACCTAGGGCCAAATGACCATGGACTAGGTCCTCTGAAAACATGAGCCCAAAGTAAATGTAAACCTTTTTTAAGGTTTTCTTTCCCTCCTTCTCCTCCTCCTCCTTTTCCTCCTCCTCTTTTTCTTCCCTATCAGTTATTTGGTCAGCAATAAGAAAAATAACTATCATAAATAGACCATAGAGCCAGGTGGTGGTGGCGCACGCCTTTAATCCCAGCACTCAGGAGGCAGAGGCAGGCAGAGCTCTGTGAGTAGAGGCCAGCCTGGTCTATAGAGTTCCAGGACAGCCAGAGCCACACAGAGAAACACTGTCCTGGGGGAAAAAACCATAAATAAATAAATAGACCATAGACACATGAACACTGTACATAGGAATACTCAGGAATAAAGGCATATGTATCCACATCTACATACATGGAATATATATGGGACAAGGTTCATGTATACATGCAATTCTCAGTGGAGGGTATTGTCAGTAACTATTCTGGAATCTTCCATATAGAGTATGATACAGTCCACCACATACCTGTGGGTAGAAAGACACAGAGCTCCAATATGTTGCTCAGATTTCCCTCCCAGTAACAAAATACTCAAGGGTGAACTTGAATTTCTGATTCTCCTGCCTCTGTGCTGGGATTACAGGCATGCACTACCATGCCATTTATGACATACTGAGGATGGAACCCAGGGCTTCATGCCTGCAAGGTGAGCACACTGCCAAATTGACCAGTGCTAGACACCATTAACTTTAGTCTCCGGTGAAGTGTTGGGTGCCATAGTGGAGAGGCATATGTAAGTACAAACTTCTCATACCATGACCAGGAAGAAAAGAAAAAGAGGGAAAGTCCTGGCTTGAATTTCCTTGAGGGCATACCTTAATGACTTAGTAACCTTAATGACCTAGTAACCTTGGTGACCTAGTAACCTTGGTGACCTAGTAACCTTGGTGACTGAACCCTCACTAGCCCCACCTTGCTGTGTGCTCACCACTTCTAGTAATTCCATCCGGGGCTGCCAGGACCTAACCCGGAGCCTTTGGGGACAATTGGTAACTGAGCCTTAGTAGCCAGGCTCATATGTGGGGTTTCCCTATCCAGAGACCCACCCCGGGTTTGCTCTTAGCATCCTTGTGCCAGGATAGGGTCCCCAGAGCTGTGTTGCAGCTCTGAGGAGATGCCCCTATTGGTTGGAATCTCTTTTCTACCCAGGTGTGTTACCCTAACAGGTTTAGGAGTTGGGAATTAACATTGACAGTTTGGGGGGTATTTGGTGATCTCCTTCAGGGTTCAAGGGGACCCTGGCTTGTGTGTGGTGTCAGCTCCTAGGTTCAGTGAGGCTGGAGGGGTGGGGGTGCAGTAATGTCAGAATCAGGTCTGTTTGGGGAGGGGTGCATTCTTTATCCCCTTCCCTCCTTTCCAGCCTCCCCTCTCCCCTCTCCCATCCCTCCTGGATTTTCAATGTCAGACTGATGAACTCCAGGTTCAGTGAGAGACCCTGTCTCAAAAAAATAAGGTTTAGCCACGAATGGTAGCATGTGCCTTTAACCCCAGCACTATTTAGGCTGAGGCTGGAGGATCTCTGTGAGTTCAAGGACAGCCAGGGCTACGTAGTAAGACCCCATCTCAGAAAAGGAAAAAAACACAAGAACATGGCTCAGAAGTTGCTAGACACTTGCTGTTCAGTCATGAGGCCCAAAGTTGGAGTCCCAGCACCCACATTGTCGGCTCCCAAATGCCTGTAACCTCAGTTCCGAAGGCTCTGGAGCTTTTCTTCCGCCTCTGTGGACATCTGCACACGCACATAGACTCACAAAGACACACATAAACAAAGTAAGCTTTTTAAAAAAAGATTAGATGGCGAGCAATAGGGGAAGACACCGTTGGCAGTCACACCTGTGTGTGTACATCCATTACATGACCATGCACATGTGCTTGCAGACAATGCACTCTCTCTAAAGGAAGACGAATAGGTGTGTAGCAGAAAGCTTTTGTTGCTGTGAGAAAATGTGAGATAATCAACTTGTGAAGAGGGAAAGTTTGTTATGGTTCAGTGTGTCTGCCTGCCATCCGTCGGCTCTGGCTCCATTGCTTGGGTTTGCACTAGAGTAGGAGCATGAGGTGTAACAAAACTGCTCCCTCTTGGCTGCCAGGAAACAGGAAAGAAGCAGAGGTGTGATAGCTCATTAAACGCTGTACCTCCAGTGACTGCTTACTCCCCGTTAGGCACCAAGCTCTTATGGGCCCACTCCCTTGGTAGTGCCACTAGCTGGTCATTAAATAAGCCCTCAGTGTGTGGACTCAGACTTGGGGTGGGGTGGGGCAGGCGGTAGGGTTGGGACTTCCAAACTCAAGCTAAGGCATGCCTTCCATGCAGATCCCCAGGATTGGTGGCAGGTGACTTAGGTTCAGGATTAGGGAATCCAGGCCTCCCAGCCAGGGCCTGGCTGGTGAGGTGCCTGGCCTAAGACTCCCGTGGGACTGGGCACAGTGCTTGGCTCTGGTCCCTGACTAACATATCCCACAGCGGCGAGGCATGAAAGGCAAGGCTCGCAAGCTCTTCTACAAAGCCATCGTGAGAGGCAAGGAGATGATCCGCATAGGCGACTGTGCGGTCTTCCTGTCGGCTGGTCGCCCCAACCTGCCCTACATTGGTCGAATCCAGAGCATGTGGGAGTCGTGGGGCAACAACATGGTGGTTCGTGTCAAGTGGTTCTACCATCCGGAAGAGACCAGCCCAGGCAAACAGTTCCACGAGGGCCAGGTGAGCTTTCCCTGCTGGGAACCCAGAGAGACCTGGTGTGTAAGGGCAGACCCTTAGTGTTTCGTTTCCATCGGTGTGGTAAAACACCCTGACAGAGGGAAGCAAGGGTTTTCTTTTAGCTGACAGTTCTACGTTACAGTCTGTCTCTGTGGGGACAGCTGGGCACATCACAGCCACAGCTAGGGACAGAGAGAGTGAATGCATTCATGATTAACGCTCAGCGTGGTTCTCTACTCAGAAAGTCCACAGTTCTCCATGCAGGGAATGGTGCCGCCCACAGTGGGCTGCCCCTTCTCACCCCACTTAACAAGGTAACCCCTAGCAGATGTGCCCACAACTCAGCCCACCTAGATGGTGCCTTACTGAGACTCTCTTCCCAGAGAACTCTAGATGCTGTCAAACTGACAGTTAAACACGAACCGTCACACAGCTCAGGCTGGGCATCTAGGTGCTGAAAACAATGGCCCCACAAGCGAGGAGGTTGAGTCCAAGGGAGCTTGTTTAGTCAGCCTGAGATCTCAAATGGTGTAAAACAAAGCTCAGACTTACCCCACCCCTTCATCTATCCCCCCCCCCAGCACTGGGACCAGAAATCGGGGCGTAGTCTCCCTGCAGCCCTGCGGGCCTCCAGCCAGAGAAAGGACTTTATGGAGGTAAGAAGGCAGCAGGGGGCTGGTGCTGGGGTACAGGTTTTGTCCAGATGGGGCAGGCTGAAAGCTGTCTGCTCTGCTCCTCCAAGCTCCTCTTGTGTCTGTGGCTCTGTGCTACTGGGGTCCCTTTCTCTGCCCCACCTGCCTTTGGCTCAGTAACTCTTTGTATCATAGGCACATCTGTTCCTCTTTTCTTCTGTCGTTTCTCTTGTTTTTATTTCTTTTCTGTGTTTGCATATACCGATGTTCAGACCTGTGGAGGGGAGTGTCGTGTGGGTGTGGGCCCACCATTGGCTTCCTTGGTCATCAAAACCAGATCCTACTAGCCAGCTTGCTCCAGAGGTCCCCTGTCTCTTTCTCTTATGAGGCTGAAATTGCAGGTGGGCTACCTCATCCACCTGCTACTTACATGGGCTCTGGGGATCTGAACTCCGGTCCTCATAATTTGCTGCTTGTAAGATGAGGACCTTAGCTGGTCGTTGGTGGCACACGCCTTTAATCCCAGCACTCGGGAGGCAGAGGCAGGTGGATCTCTGTGAGTTCGAGGCCAGCCTGGTCTACAGAGCAGCCTCCAAAACAATACAGAGAAACCCTGTCTCAAAAAACAAAACAAAACAAAAAACAAAAACAAAAAAAGATGAGGACCTTAACCCAAGGCGTCAGCACAGGCCTCTATGTCCATTCTTAACTTTGGGCATTGTCTCTTCTTGTCTCCTCTATTTATTTCTCCCTTCTCATGTCTTTTGGTCTCAGTCTGTCATTGTCTCTGGGTCTTTTTCAGTCTCTATCTTGCGGTCTCTGTCTGTTTCCATGTTTTCTGTCTCTATCTCCATGTCTTTGTCTCGGCCTCCAGGTCTGTACCCTTAAAGCATCCCGGGGTCTCCCTGATCCAGGAGGGTTCCCTGTAGCCCCTAACACCTACACCGTGTCCCCACAGCGCGCCCTGTACCAGTCCTCCCATGTGGATGAGAACGACGTTCAGACAGTGTCCCACAAGTGCCTGGTGGTGGGCCTGGAGCAGTACGAGCAGATGCTAAAGACCAAGAAATACCAGGACAGCGAGGGCCTGTACTACCTCGCGGGCACCTATGAGCCCACCACAGGCATGATCTTCTCCACAGACGGCGTGCCTGTGCTCTGCTGAGCACCGCCTCCCCGGCAGGGCCCACGGAGACCCCTCCCCACCACTGCCATGGCGCGGGACCATGTGTGTTGTGTGCATGCCAGTGTGCTCGTGGGCGTGTGCATGTGGCCAGGTGGACGCCCCGGGCAAGTGCGAGTGTGTACATGTGTGTGCCCGTATGCATGCACGTGTGTGCGCACATGTGCACACATCTCTAGACCCTTTCTGGTCATCCCCTGGTGCCCTCATGCTGAGACACCCCTCCCCCTCCAGCTATCAGGGTCTGGCTCTGCTGTCCCATCAGGGTCACCTCAGTGGGGACTTCCCTCCAGCACTTTGAATGCGCTTGATAAGGCTGCCCTCCAAGCTCTGGGCCTGTGTAGACTTTCTGACTCTGTGGATGGGGTGACGGAGAGTTCCAAGGACCCAAACTGATGCTTGGTATAGAGGTCAACCACACCCAGCATGGAACCCATCGAAAGCCTTCCATCATGGGCCGGAGGCCCCAACGCCAGCCAGCTTCACCAATCAACACTGGGCATCTGGGCGCCTGCATGCCCAGCCTCCACCCTCTCAGGACAGCCTGGACTTGGGGAACAAGACAGGGGAGGGCATCCCAGGAGCATCACCATACCTGGTGGACCCCCTAGCCCAGACCCTTACACTACAGAAAACCCCAATGGTGCTGAAACCCGCGCCCATGCCCGGCACGGCCCGCCCGGCCCCCTCCACCAGGAGGATCCGAAAGGTTACCTGTACAGTTTATTGTAGCCTGCCCCTGTATCATACACCTTTAAATGGAGTCAACTTTTTAATTATATATATAAAGATAAATATATATAAATATATATATAAACTTTTTAAAACTGTGAAAAATAGCTATGAAATTATAAAAAAACACATTCTGACGTGCAGAATATTATTTTTTATTTCCTGTTAGATTGTGAGTGTCTAGCACCGGCTTCATGCCTTCCCCCAACTCCCCTGCACCCTCACCCCTGCCCATGTGTACTGTATGTGCCCCCAAATGGACGAGAGATGGAGACAGATGGAGGGGCCCCGAGCCCAGCCCCCAGCTCGGCCCGAAGCACTTAACCAGCCCCCCTGTGCCTGCCAGACCCCAATGGGGTCCCCGGAGGCTTTGAGCAGACAATCTTGAAGGAAGGAAAAGCCAGACTTCGGTTTTGTTTTGTTTTGTTTGGGGGGGGTAATTACTGTTTCCTGATTTTTTTTTTTAAAAAACCGTTTCTTTTGGAATTTTGTTTGTTGGCAAATTCTGTGTGATCTTTTTTCATAAAAAAAAGAAAGAAAAGAAAAAATTTAATTGGAAAAATATTATGGGTTGGAGTGGCTTATTTGGGAGCCTGGGATCTTGGAATTGGTGTGGAGGATCCAGGGTCCTTGTTCTAGAACACCTAGAGAGAAGAGACTAGAGCCACACAACATTGTCTTTTAGTGACAGAAGCCCCACATGCCGGGGCCAAAATCCAGGTACAGCCTGGAGCTGCTGTACTGGGCACAGAGATGAGCGTGGTCAAGCGTTTCAGAAAGTTCTCGAAGCCAGAGTGGTCTGTTTTGGAGATGACCCAGTTGTTAGGAGCACTTGTTGCCCTTAAAGAAGTTCCAGGTTCAGTATGCAGCACCCACATGGCATCTCATGACTGTTTGTAACTCAGTTCCAAGGGATCTGACCACCCTAATCTGACCAGGCATCCCTTGGTACACAGGTATACATGCAGGCAAAAAATAATAATAAGATCTGCAGGATGGATGGAGAGGTCATGAGTAAATTGCCTGCCTGGATCCCAGTGCAGGGGACGGAGGATAACCTCCATGGCTAGCCACTCTAGCCAAACAAGCAAGCAGGGTGGCCTGTGGCGTCAAGCTCATACCTGGATGGGTCAGAGTTGCACACCTGTATCTGGGTGTGTGACAGTTCTGGGGCCTGTGAACCCTGTATTGAAGGACTGGGTACTGGCCAGCCACAAGTGTGAATCTGTGGATCGCTGCAGCCCTCACTCTGGGCTTTTCTGCTTCACAGCTGGGAAGAGGACAGGGTTGATGACAAATGTTAACGCCTAGCTTGAGGTTTGCTGGGAAGCTGAGTGACTCAGTGGATGGGAAGATCACGCTCGATCGCCGTCTGGCAGCCTCCTGTGGCATCCCCACCACCCTGGCCTTGATTCGTCAGGCTGCCCTAGTAGGGCCCACAAGGGTTGCACACCGTGTGAGTGCCCAAGGCTATAGGACTTCTGTGGCTCTTCTCCATGGCCCCATTTTCTGATCCTTTTCCTTGGGGATCCAGAAACAGAACAATGAAAGGACGCTTCTGGGCCTGGGGAGGTGGCTCAGTGAGTACTAGTGTTTGCTATACAAGCATGAGGAATGAGTTCAAATCCCTAGAAATAAGTTTCAAAAGTATGGCCAGTGGGTGGTAGCAGGTGGATTCCAGGGCCCTGCTGGCCATCCAGCCTAGCTTAGAACATTGAGGAGCAGGTGTGATTGAGAGACGGTAGGTAGGTGAGGAAGAGGGATGTGACAGTGGACATTGGATGTCCTTCTCTGGCCTCTGTACACACACACATGTACACCATGTGCATGTCACACACACAGAGTAACCTGCCTCTCGGCCCCAGGCGGATAGCGCCTGGACCAAGCCACACCCCTTCCAGTGTGCCAGCTGCATCCACCTCCCATTCTCACGGAGCCAATGGTCACCAAGGCCAGTGCAAGCCACAGATGCTCAGCACTAGGCACAAGAGCAGGCTCCTGACCAACCATCAGCTCTAAAAACAGCTCCGGGCAGGTGGGGCTGCTCAGCATTGTGGAGAAGACTTAACCCACCAGGACCCTGTTTTAATCTCCCCACCCTCCCCAGTGGCTCAGTTCCCACCACCCCACCCACAAACACCTCACAAGAGACAGCGGTGGGCAGTCTCTGCCATCTTTAATGGCCAGTGCGGTAGTCAGAGGACACACAGGTAGACGGGACACAGCAGGGATTGGTACAGGGTGGTCACAGCTGGGGTCAGAGTGTATGGAGAGGCAAGTGTCCTGGCTCAGCAAAAGCCGTATTTGGCCGGAGGCCCCATCACCAACCCCGCCACCCAGTGACCCCACTCCCCAGCTTGCTGCCACTTGCCAGGGTTTCAAGTGCATCATGTCACTGTTTGAAGTCAATGGGCAGGGTCAGGGTGGCCTAGGGCAGGCGTGGTTCTTAGCTGTCCCTGCATTATGGATAGCTTGAGTGCTTGAGTGGAGCTGAGGAGGGAATGGGGGACTTCCTTGTTAACCATGGCCCTTAACCTGTGCTCTAGAGGGGTGCGTGGTGGAACTCCTCCACCTCAGGTGGGTGTACCCAGGTCAGCTCTGTAGCTATGACTATGGGAGGCCTGTGTAGTCCCAGGAGTGAGTTTTCCAGTCGTAATGCTGTGTGTGTGTGTGTGGTGTCTAAGAAGGGGAAGAAGGGGACAGAATGGCACTGGGGACTCCTAATACTCATGAGGATGTGTTACCTACCCAATAAGTGAAAACCACATTAAAGACCATAGTGGGGTCATAGGGAAGAGAGTCGCTCAGACTGGTGGTCAGCCGTTCTGGGTGGCTTTGAGTCTGAATGACCCCATCATGCTGATGTGACAAAGGTTGGGCCTCTGGACATAGAGAGAAGGGCAAGTGTCTGACCATACACAGGACACAGGGGTAGGCAGCGCCCCGGGTGATGAAGACACGCTCCGGCGCAGTGGGCAACTGGAGCGAAGTGGCGAGGTGGCATTAGTGGCTTAGGAGGCTGCCAGGACCCCACAGGCACTGAGGCAGGGGTGGGGAGGGCCCTCAGGCCTTGGGGTGGCTGGCCTGAGCAGCCCTCCCTGGGCAGTGGGCAGGGTCAGGTGGGCCTGGCTCAGGGGCCAACAGGAATGGAGTTGTTGGCGGTGGCCGTTTGGAAGCAGCTGCTGTGGGCGTCACGGGTGAGGCTGTAGGTGCAGTAGGCCACAGCGGAGCCCAGGGTCAGCCCCGACATATAGGACACAGTCATGGTGTTTCCTGTGGGCAAGAGAGACCTGAGCAGGGGCCGAAGAACAGCCATGGGAGCTGAGGCCACACTATGCTAGGCAATCTCTGTGGCCATGGCTTCTTGGATGTGCAATATGGTGACAACTGTCACTGTCCAAGAGCCTGTGATTCCTCCCCTAGAAACCCACTGTTGAATTTTTGGGTCTTTTAGGAGTGATCTCACTGGAGTCTCAGACCTTGCCTACTTCTCTTTCCTTCCTTATTTTCTTCCTCTTTTCCCTCTCTCCCTCTCTTCCCCCTTTCTCTTTCCAGTCTTAGAGATAGAATGTGTAGCCTTTCACAAGCTAAGCCAATTATCTACCACTGAGCCACACCCCAGCCCCTCACTGGGGGATTCTAGGCAGGTACTCTACCACTGAGCCACACCCCAGCCCCTCACTGGGGATTCTAGGCAGGTGCTCTATCACTGAGCCACATTTCCTGGCCTCTTTATTTTTATTTTTTTATTTTGAAATCGGTTCTCACCTCAAATCAGGAATCCTCCTGCCTTAGCCCCCTAAGTAGCTAGATGACAGGCCTGCATCATCAGGCCTGGCTTCTGCTTTCCATTTTTATCTCTCACCCCCTGCCTCCTCCTTGAGGACAATTCAGTATATCCCCACATCTGACCTGGATACTCCTTCCTTCACTTCCCTATCCATCCATGGCAATACCAGCCTGGCTTTCAACAGTAGGCCCCCAAACTGGGAGTACCCCTTGACTCTCTTAGGCCCCATCTCTCAATCCATCAGCTAACCCTGTGAACCACTGAAACCGGTTCTAACACCAGTCCCTCCCCCACCTCCACACAAGCTTGTCCTCAGGCCTGGAACACTGCAGGAGCTTTGGAATAACCTTCTCATCCCTGTCGGTTCCTACCCCATCCATCCCAGGCAGGTACTCTCCTCACAGAGCCGTGCCTCAGGACGTTTGCACACAGGGCTCCCTCTGCTTGGATGCCGTTCCTGGCAGCTTCCTATACCTGTCTCCCTCCAGGATTTTGCTCAAAAGCCACCTCCTCAGTAAGAGGACACCTTGCAAAATTGTTCTCTTTACATCACAGCCCCCAAATCCCTGTGTCTGTCCCCAGTTCTCAAACTTTTTTTTTCGAGACAGGGTTTCTCTGTGCCTCTGGAGGTTGTTCTGGAACTAGCTCTTGTAGACCAGGCTGTCCTCGAACTCACAGAGATTCACCTGCCTCTGCCTCCCAAGTGCTGGGATTAAAGGTGTGCACCACCATTGCCTGGCTTTCCACTTCTGAAACTTAACTTAAGCCCTAGGACTTACCACCGTGAAACACACCACATCTGGTTGTTATCTCGCTGTTTATTGGCTATCTCCATCTTAGGACCATAACCCTGCACATGTGGGCAGTGTCATGTCCCCACTGCCTAGGAGAGTACCAGACATACAGGCTCCCCACATAGCAGTTGAATGAATGAATGAATGAAATAAAGGAATTACAGATGTCCTCATACCTACAACTTCCTTGTCACTTATCTCTTGGGACAATATACATTTTCTCACTCACTGGCTGCCCTTGACTTCTCCAGATCTCAGTTTCCTTGCTAGAAGGTCACTAGGCTATTCAGAGGGAGCTCTAATTGTCCCTGAGGCCAGCAAGTCTTACCTGCCAGCTCCCGCTGCTTGGGGCTCACTTTACCCGCTGCCAGGATCATGGGCACACTGCCAAAGTAGCCATTGCTGATGCCCATGAGCAGTGAGAAGACACAGGGCCAGGCAGGGTGGCGGAGGGCAGGCATGCCACTGGGGTAGACACACAGGATGAAGAGGGGGATGAAAACCACGCGCAGGCAAGAGCAGGCAAGCAGATGAGTGCCCCTCCAGTCCACCGGTAGGGCCGCCAGGATCTGCAGAGAGCAGGGAGTGAGGGTCACCCACCTGGCCAGGAGCCTGTCTCCCCACTCAAACTACACCCTGTCCCAAGTACTTGTGGCTCCATCCAGTTCCCTCTGCAAGGCCCACCAAATCACATACACATTTTTTTCCTCTTCAGTGCTGGCCAAGGAGGATGAGAATACGCTAGGCATAAACTCTACCACTGAGCCATGTCCCTAGCCCCTCACTGGGGGATTCTAGAGCACTTCTGAGGGGTGTGGGGGCATGGCTTGCTTGCCTGACAAGGGTAAGGCCCTGGGTTCCATCTTTCATGCTCCATACAACACAGTAGAAGAAAAACTGGCCACAGAGACATGGCTCATCTGAGCTGCAGAGTGCCTGGGTCCCACTCTAACCCTGGCCACCAATCCCATGTACTTGTGTGACAGATGTGCTGCCCAGCTGGCAGCCCGTGCCTATGCCATCTCCAGAGGGATTCACTAGTGACCAGGAGGCAGGAGAACTGGGACTGATCCTAGCCTGAGATGCAGTTGATGCCACAGAGACCAGGCAGGGGCTACACTGGACAGGACAGGGTTAGGTTTCCACCCTCCCCAACTGGAACTCACATGTACCCTCAGCCTGGGGTTGTTCCAGAAAGACCAGAGCCTTCCTGGGGCCCCCCAAGGTCACCCTGTGTCTCACCTTTCCCACGAAGTCTGACAGGTTGAACACGGCCATGACCAGAATGGGCAGCCACTCGCCCAGCACACAGTGGCGGATCTCAGACTCCAGGCCAGGGAACAGGCACAGTGTGATAAAGTAGGTAACCGCGATGGACAGCATGTCAGCCCAGATGACCCGCGCCACAACATACCGGTGCAACAGCAGGGCTGGGGGAGCGAGGCATGCCAGAGGTGACGCTCATGGGGCCCCTGCCGTCTCCAGCCTGGGCGGCAGCCAGACATGCCATCAGACCCCACAGGCCTCACACTTACCCCTGAAGGTGGGCCAGCTCCGTTTGACCCGTGGCCGAGGCACATCAAAACGCATGTAGGCCCCACTGTTGCTGTGGGTCACCTCATGGGCCGGGCTGTCCTTCGGGGACCTGCTGCTGGGCAGGGATGGAGTTTGGTGCTCCTGGGTAGAAAGGCATGATGGGAGTCATGGGCTAGGTACCCATGGCTAACGGTGGAGCAGAAGTCAGCCAGACATTCAGTTAGCACCTACTGCGTGCGCTTCCTTATCAAGGGACAATGTTTACCTGCCCTGTTTCCCACCACCCAGCAAGCAGTCACCGGCCGCAGCTTCCTCTTAGCCCTCAGGTGGGTGGGGGCAGAGGTGGTATGCAGTATGTAGCCATCAGAGGGCACTCTAGCTTTCTAGAACGGTGAACTGACTCACCTAGGCTATAGCTACTAAAGGAGTTGGTATTGAATTGACTCACCTAGGCTATAGCTACTAAAGGAGTTGGTATTGAGGCCACTCTTGGAGAAGTGGTCTGTGCTGGGGTCCTCTGAGCTGTGGTGGAAGGGAGTTTATCACAGGATTCCCCTGCCTTCCATTTACCTGACTCCCTTGGAGCCCACTTTCACGACCCTGGGGTTCTCCTCCACTAGGTTCTGGGGATCTACCACACGCCCTAGGCTCTTCACCCTGGCTACAGCTGGAAAACCGTCACCTCCTGCTGTCCTAACAGGGTTTCCTAGCAGCTGGGCCACCGAAGCTGAGGAGAACCTCAGGCCACAGCTGGTGGAGGGTCGCCGTCTACCCGTGGTGCCACACAATGGAATGTCTCAGGTATGGAAGCAGGCCTGCAGCCCGAGATCAAGGGACCAAGGACAGAGCCGGCGAGGAGCTCTTTCAGGCACCTGCGTGGGAGGCCAGGCCAGGCCAGCGCACTTACGAAGTGGATGTCTCCTGATGCGACGTCATGGTGCACGCGATAACCAGCTCGGACCGGGCGGCTGTCGCGAGGCCGCGTGGTGTAGTAGCGCACAAAGCGGCTGCGCCGCACCAGCAGGTGCAGCAGGAAGCACAGCAGCTCCAGGCCGGCAGACACCAGGAAGAAGATGATGGTGCTGGCCCGCTCATCTGGTAGCAGCAGTTTAGTGAGGATCCGACTCAGGGAAGTCATCACCCCTGCCGTGCCTGGAGAGGAGGCAGTGACAACTGAGCCGTCCCGATGCCTCTCTCCCCATGTCACCCCCACCCAGTCTCTTGTCCCACCCCTACCCCATCCCGTCCACCACCAGTGCTACCCACTCCATCCGCCCACTGCTCCAATCCCAATGCACAGTACCAGTCCATCCCGCAAGGCCCGCTCCCTCCCCCGTTCAAGCCAGCTTCTCCCAGCCCCATGTTACTTTGCTGAACTCCAGCAGTTCCATCCTGTCCAAGGCTCCAACGTCTCTCCAAGCTCTCCCCCAACTACCCACAGCCCCTTGCGCCATCCTTGTCTCCGGTCCCCAGCGCAGTGAGTCTGATCTCACCAGCCCCACTTCTAGACTTACTGCCCGTCTATCCACCCAGCCTGTCCCCCAGGACTGCTGCTGCTCCCACCAGCCCCCTCCCGACTCCAGCATCTCACACACCATGGGCAGTGTCGTTGAACTTTTGCTGGGAGTCCTGCCCTGAGGTCCTCCACAGGGAGGACACAAGGCCCTGCCTTTCTAGGCTTCATGGAGAGAGGCCATGTCAAGACACAGAAACACACAACAGTGGTACAGTGTGTGCCCTGTAGCAGAGGGCGTGTCCAGAGAAGGATCAGAGCTGCCTTCCCTGGGAGGGGACGGTTAAGCCAGGGGGTCTGCAGTACAGGAGAGCCAGGCACACAGACCGAGATTGAGCACTCCAGTGAGTAAGAGTCACGAGTGTGTGTGAAATATTGAGAGGTGCCCCCACCACCACCACAGACCAAGGGCCAGCTGGAGGAGGGCGCCGGGGTCAAGGCAGGCAGGACTGCTGCAGAGCAGTGTGGGTCAGGACTAGGCACGTCTGCCATGATGAAGATGGGCAGGGCTCTGAGCAAGTCTGTTTCGAGGGGTTCTTGGCTACTGCATTACAGCCCCAAATCGGTACATCAGCACCATCCTGATGGCCTCACCAATTCCACCACAAAACCTACCGGTTTGGGTTAGGAATGTGGCTCAGTTGGTACAGTGCTTGCTAAACATGTGTGACATCCTGGGTTCAGCTTTCAGCCCTGGGTAAAGAGAGTGTGGTGGCACATGTCTGGAATCCCCACACTTGGGAGTTGGAAACAGGAGGATCAGAAGTTCAAGGTCATCCTCAGCCATATAGTTGGAAGTTAGCCTGGGCTACATGAGGTCCTCTCTTAACAACAAAAAATATCTGCTGGCTTGCAAAGCCATATGTGTGCTGGCCACCTTCCAGAAGTCAGCGGCAGGTGGTGTGGTGCAATACACAGCAGAAGAAGCCTACAGAGGCTGCCAAAGAGGAGATGTGGAGAGCAGCCCGAGGGTGGGGACGGCTGGCCCCGCTTCTTGCTGGATTGTGACTAGCTACGGAAGAGGGTGGGACGGGGCACGCTCAGGAATAGAGGGTGGGACGGGGCACGCTCAGAGTCTGCCTGGATGGTATGGCCAGAGCCCTGGGATCTGGGAACTGGGTGAATGCCAGGCTTGTGCAAGGGTGCTGTCAGAAAGGTGAATCTGGGATATGGCTCGGCAGACGAAAGGGCTTAGGTAACAGTGATGAGTGAGGGTGGCTGGTGGTGGTAGATGGGGGGATCTGAGGAAGACTTGGTCCTGAGTACACACGCAAATTTCTAAAAACAAAAAGGAGGAAGGATCAAAAGACTCAGGATACAAGATTCTCAAGGGCCCTCCTCAAGGTTATGCAAGCAGCAACAATTGCTGGGAAAGGGAGACTCTCCCACCAGCAGAACTGCCTGCAAGCTGCGCCAGGAGTCAAGGAACACAGTCTTCCCAGTTATCACCGGGGCTGGGGTGGGCTTCTCAGTGCTTTAGCCGTCTCTGAGTCATCCATGTTCCTGCACGTCAGTCCTAAGAAACTCAGAGGTGCGGCAAAGCTAGAATGGTGGAACCTTTTCTTTTTTTTAATTTTTTTGGAGTACCAATGGTGCCCTATCTTGGATGAACAGACATCTGATTACATTTCCCCAGGAAAAGTCACACCACGGGCACGCAAATATACCCACCTGCATGCGCACTGGAACTGTGACTGTCCCACTCCAAAGGATTCCCCACTCTAGAAACCTGGCACGCACAGGTGTGCACGTGTATCCCTCCCACCCAGTGATCCATCCCTCACCATCGATAGTCACCACCCCAATTCAGCATGTGTAGAGCTTTCTGGCCCACCTCCCGAACCAGGGCATGCCCAATAGGGTTCTCAGACTGGTGCCCCCTTGGGAGGGTCTCAATACTCACTCTCTCCAGTCATCACCCCCTGCGTGTACCTCTTGGGCAGTAATCCCGTGTAGCCATAGAAGCTAGATTGCTGCACTTAAGAGAGAGGGGAGAAGTGATCAGATATCATTTGTCACTGGCCGACACAGAGGCAGTATGGACCTCCTGTGCTATGTTAGCACTGGAGGGTAAGTGCTCAGAGGCTAACACCAGAGCGGCGATGAGGGTTAACAGCCATACAGCAACACAGGAAGGAAAGTGTTACCCTCAACATAGCATACACAGAGCAGCCACTTTCCTTCCCCTGGGACTCCAGGTCACTGACAAGTCCTGATGGGAGTAGAGATGACACATGCCCCTTGCTGGAGGAGACAGCAGTGACAGTCAAGGCTATCTATTGGTTGAAATGGGGCTGTCACCCTCAATCCCTGAGTGGCTGTATGGAACACCCCTTCTGCCCCATTTCTGAGGGGCCTGGACCATGCAGAAAAGCAAGGGAGAGCTGAATGTGTGGATGCACACATGTAATGTCAACACTGGGGAGCTGGAGGTAGCAAGATTAGAAGTTCAAAGCCAGCCTGAATTGCTTGAGACCCTGTCTCAATTTTAAAACAACGGGAGTGAGCTGGTGGTGCACTTTAGTTAGCACAGAGTTTGCCTAGCATCCATGATGCCTGGCTCCACACCTAGCACTGTGTAATCCGAGTGTGGGGTGCAGCTTATAAGTCTAGCATGAAGGAGGTGGCAGCAGGATGATCCCGAGTTCATGAGAACCAGGAGCCTGCAGTCCAAACCTGTGCCACATGAGAGTTGCCTTGGTGCACACGAGGGTTTGTGTACACGTGTGTGGTGTGTATGTGTGCTCTGGTGTGTCTATAGACATGTGGCCAGCAACTGGGCTGACTCACCTTTCAGGGCCACAAAGCACTTGGGATCAGCCTTCCTGGTGCATCCTGGCCACACTCCCTACCTGTGCATCCAAAGGCCACAGTGCCCACGGCGGCCAGGTTGATGGCATAAGCCTGATCGTGCGAGAAAAGCTGAAGCCACACATCACATATGCTGATGAAGAGCAAGGGACCCAAGGCAAGGAGGTAGCCTGCAGAGGGCAGAGAAGTCATGAGGGGCATGGTGAGCGCCAGGTGGGGTCCTCCCTCACCCCATTTTCTAGAGAGGTAGGCCTCAAATACTGTGGCTACCTGTCCCCTAGAATATAAGGCAGGTAGAAGAGTCCGGGAGAGCCTGGCCGTGGTGGCACCCGCCTTTAATCCTACTTCTCAGAAGGCAGAGGCAGGTGGATCTCTGTGAGTTCAAGGCCAGCCTGGTCTACAGAGCTAGTTCCAGGACAGCCAAGGCTACACAGAGAAACCCTGTCTCAAAAAACAAAAAACAAAAGAAAACGAGGAGGAGGAGGAAGAGAAGAAGAAAGAAGAAGAAGAAGAAGAAGAAGAAGAAGAAGAAGGAGGAGGAGGAGGAGGAGGAGGAGGAGGAGGAGGAGGAGGAGGAGGAGGAGGAGGAGGAGGAGGAGGAGGAGGAGGAGGAGGAGGAGGAGGAGGAGGAGGAGGAGGAGAAGGAGAAGGAGAAGGAGAAGGAGAAGGAGAAGGAGAAGGAGAAGGAGAAGGAGAAGAAGAAGAAGAAGAAGAAGAAGAAGAAGAAGAAGAAGAAGAAGAAGAAGAAGAAGAAGAAGAAGAAGATGCTAAGAGATTCTACAGGGAAATTCTGGGGGCTTCCTGGAGGAGGAGTCATCGGAGCTGAGTCTTGAAGCTGAAGACCACTGCACAGAGGGACGGACAAAGGGGAGGGCTTATGTAGGGACCTAAGGATGTAATGTGGGGCCACAAGTGCCTGTGAGGGTGCTTGCTATTGTACTGATGTTGCCTGATGGTGACTTCCAACCACAAAGCATGTGTTTCACGGACAAAGCTAGGAAGCTGCATGGGCAGGTGCCATGGGCTAGAAGCTCGCAGGAAGAGCTTGGAGCCTCCGGGAGGGGACAACACAGGGTGACTCTGAATACCTGTGGTGATCCTAGTGTGCAGGTTCAACCTCTCCACCACAACGTTGTTTAGAAGAACAGCAGCCAGTGCCACCAAGATATAGGTGAGGCTCATGTCGAACACAATGGAGGTCCCTGGATACAAGAGCAAAAGCAACTCAGAGGGACTTCCAGCCTCTGCACTCACCCCTGCAAAGGCTCTTCACTGCTCAGAGGGAATCAGGGGCTACCCTGAGGCCACTCAGCAATGGTCAGTGGAGCTAAGATTCATATACTTGACAATTGTCCCTCGACCTGCCATGTTGGCCCCTGGCTAACTTAGCCTGCACCTTTACAGAGGTCCATAACCCACCTTTACTCCCTGCCTAGGTTTAACATCCCCATGGGTTCACATGCTGGAACACTTGGTCCCCAGCTGTTTGAGAAGGCTGTGGAACCTTTAGGAGGTGGTGCTTCACTGGAGGAAGTGAGTCACCAGGGAAGGGTCGTGAGATTTTATAGGGGAGTCACTTGCAGCTCACTCTCTGCTTCTGAGTGTGACTGCCGTGTGACCAGCCAGCCTCTCACTCTCCACCACGCCTTCCATGCCTTCCCTCTCAGGGCAGACCGTAACCAGCAAACCAAGAGTCAGAATAAGCCCCCTCTCTCTTCAATGGCTTTGCCAGGCCTTTCACCACAGCCACAAGAAAAGAAATTACTAAGCTCCCCAAATAAAGGCCATGGCACAGTTATTTATCTACCCAGGGTGGCACAGTTCCCTGCTGTCCCCAAAACCCACACCAGTCATTCTCTCTACTCTCTCCAAGAGGATGCTGCCCCCTGGGATTCCCAGAAGGCCCTGGTACAGGCAGAGGGTCCTGAGCGGCCTCCAGGGGCAGTGTGGATGGCAGAGGAACCCACCTGGGTACTTGTGGTGAAGGTAGTCCACATCGGTGATAAAGCTGTTGTATGGCAGTAGGAAACCCACGCCAGCCAGCAGCATGGCAAAGTAGATGGCATGGTAGCGGTCATCTGGCACAGGCTCCTCTACGGCTAAGTGGGGAGACACCAGCAGAGACTCCAGTGAGCACACTCAGGCTGTGGCCACTGCACCAGGGCCGCCATCTACCGCCACCACAGTTCACGTCGCCGTGGCCATCTGCATTACTAACTTCAAGGCCACAGACACCACAGCCACAGTGATAACCAGTCTGTTTTTCAGTACGCGCGCATGCACATACACATGCACACACACACGTGCACGCATGCACACACGCACGTGTATGCACACATGCGCGCGCTCGCGCGCGTGCAGGTGCCCACAGAAGCAGAGGGCAGCCCATTTCCTAATGTTAAAGCTACAAGCAGTTGTGACCCACCTGATGTGGGTGCTGGGAACTAAACTTGGGTCCTCTGGAAGAACAGAAAGAACTCTTAACCTCTGAGCCATCTCTCCAGTCCCTTAAATTTTTTTTAATTTAAATTTTAGCCAGCCGTGGGGGCACAAGTCTTTAATCCAGCAGTCTGGAATTACAGATATGCACTACTGTGCCCAGGATTTTTATATGAGTTCTGGGATTTGAACTCGGGTCCTCACACTTGCTTGGCAAGTGTTTCACTCATTGAACCATTTCCCAGTGAGAGTCAGTTGGCCCAGTGATAGCCACTCTGCATTGTCAAATAGACAGGGTTTAGACTCATGATGGAAAAAGATCTCTGGTCATGTCTTCGAGTGAGTAGATTGGGTTAAATGAGGTGGGAAAACCCGCCCTGAATGCGGGCAGCATCAGGCCATGCTGGGATCCTGGACCAATGAAAAGGAGAGTGAGCTAAATGAGTTCTCATCTCCCTCTGCTTCCTGACTACAGATGCGAAGTGACCAACCAGCTCCATCCTGTTGCCACACCTTCTCCACCACGATGGACCATATCTTTCAAACTGTGAACTACAACAACCTTCCCCTCCCTTTAAGTTCCCTTTGTCGGGCATTTTGTCACAGCAATGAGACAAGTAACTAACCCAGTCACTGTGGTCACCATGAGGGCTGTCACTGTACCTGCTGTGTGTTGTCACAGCACTACCCACCATCACAACCACCCTAGCCACAGCCATGGAAATGGCAAGCTTGACCCAATAGTGGAGTGACCTTCTGAGGACCTTGTGGTGGGGGACAGAACCTATTCCTGCAAGTTGTCCTCTGACCTGCACGACACATGTGTGCTCTCCACCCTACAAGACAGCTAACAAACAGACAAATAAATAAATGTTTTTCTTCTCTCCTTCCCTCTTTCCTTCTCCCTTTCTTTCTTCCTTTTCTTCCTTCTTTCTCTCTCTTTTTCTCCTCCCTCCCTCCCTCCCTTCTTCCTTCCTTTCTTTTTCCTTTCCTTCCTTCTTTCTGTCTTTCTTTTTCTCTTTCTTCCTTCCCTTCTTTTCTCCCTCCCTCCCTTCTTCCTTTACTTCCTTCCTTTTTTTGATGTGCTCCAAATTGCTAGCTGTATCGTGGTCACAGGACCTGGAAAAATTGTCAGCATCCAGCAGTAATTTCTGAGGAATGGGCTTACAGTATAGTTTCAGGAGCCCAAAGACAGACTGTGCTATGCTTAGTGGTGGTGTGACCCTGCCACGACTTTACTTAGTATGTATATAAATAAGCTTTAAGGAGCTGGGGGGGGGGGAACTGCGTAGCCTCCAACACCAAGGGCACTGTAACTACAGCCTTCACAGTTCAAGTGGATGCTATGGCCAAGCCATGCACCCATAGCCCTGTCAGGGCCCTTCCCCCACCATGTTTATTGTCATCCTTGGGGGCTGGCACTGAAGTGATTCCATCCCTCTGCACAGGAATAGGTATTCTTCGTAACCCAACACGGGGCTCAGCCAGCAGAACTCCACCACATAGGGGCAAAGGGGCCAAGAACATTTCCAAGCCAGAAGCAGATCTTCTGCAAACAACCATCCACACAGATGCTACCTCACAGGTAGCTCCCAAGTTCCCAGGGGCACTGAATTTTGCTGCAGCTGCGTTGAGGACCACACCAGGCACTGTTCCTCAAACATGCATAAAGTCCCCAAGCAGGTGAGGGACCCGAACCCGTCCCACTCCAGACCTGCTCTGCAGATCCAATTGCACAGTAGGTTGGGACAACTCTTACTTTGGGGAAACAGGCTCAGGGATGCTTAGGTCCTTGTCCCAGATCACACAATGGAATTGAGAGGCAGCTATTTGAACTTCACACCAAGCCTGCCTCATTCCCTGCAACTAGGAAGTTTGCTTTGAAGAACAAATGAGAAACTCCGCAGCCATGGCCTGTCACTGCTGTGGATGGCCCCTAGCAGAGGTCACATGACACAGTGCAGAGCTGGGGCGTAATTGTCACCCTAGCCACCTAACTCATCCTGATTGAGTCTCCATTACAACCTGAGGCTCTGTGCCCCAAAGACTGACCGGAGGCCATGTGGCCAGTCATGGCCCTGAGGCAGACAGTATCACTTACTCACCAGAGTCTGTGAAAGCGGGGACACCCCTGACTCGGACACTTGGATCCTGAGCACCCTCTGCTGTTGTTTCCAGCTGGAAGTTGTCAAAGCTGAAGCTTGTCACCACACTCTGGCCAGATGAGGCTGCCATGCAGGGCTCCTTGAGGCGCTGGCTTCCAATGGAGCCCATGGCAGGTTACTCTGTGAGGAGAGGAAAAGCGGTGAGGGGGAGGGACACCATGCTCCCACAGCTAAGTCAACAAGCTGCATACCTGAGGGCCATCCATTCCCCACCCATTTGTTTATTTGTCTGGATATATTGTGTCAAACTGGGGATGAAGCTCAGAGACTCATACATGCTATGCAAGTGCTGTACCACTGAGCCACACCCCAGCCCCTCACTGGGGGATTCCAGGAAGGTGCTCTACCACTGAGCCACACTCCCAGCCCCTCACAGGGAGATTCTAGGCAGGTGCTCTATCACTGAGCTATATCTGCTTTGTTTTGAGAGATAGGGTTTTGTTTTGTAGCCCAGGCTGGCCTAGAGCTTGTGATCCTCATACTTCAGCTTCCCAGAGCTGGTACTACAGGAATGTCCTAACACATAAGTCTTTGTTACTCCCATCCTTTTAAAAATATATTTTGAAAGCTATCTTATTATTTTGAATTATATGTGTGCCTATGTACATGAGTGTTGGTTCCTGAGGAATGCAAATGGTCCAGATCCCCCTTAGACCTGGAATCATGAGCAATAGTGAGCCACCTGACTTGGGTATTGGGAACCAAACTTGGTTCCTCTGCCAGAACAGTATGCGCTCCTAACTGCTGAGACATCTCTCCAGCCCTGTTTCTCCTTTGATGTTTCATCATGAAGGATACAAGCTCAGCAGTGAGGTGATGTGACCTTGCCTGTTGCTGTGGAAACCGGGTGGGAAGAGCAGAGGCTACAGCCCAGGAACCCAGTTCAGAGGTCTTTGCCCCGAGAGCAGCTAGGTGGCCTTCATGCAGGAGACAACACTGGGCAAAGGAGACATATATAGATGGAGTGGAAAGTAAACGGAGTTAGAATGCCAGGACACAGTGAGCAATCAGAAACAACGGTGACATTATGGAGACTGTTTGCCAACCTAGACTGACAACTGTCTCACTTATCCTTTGCCTCTGAGAGGAAGGTGCTGCTACACATTCCTTAGCCAGCCACCAGAAGTGAGCCATGCAGGGTGAATAATGCCCGCTCTGCTTTCATGAGCAGAAAGTAGTAGAGTCCAGAATCCAACCCATGTTTGTGTGATGATGTCTTTCTGAGACACTGAACCATGCCTACAGCTCCTCAAGGGGATTCTAGGCTGGTGCTCTACCACTGAGCCACACTCCAGCCCCTCACTGGGGGATTCTAGGCAGGTGCTCTACCATTGAGCCACACCCCAGTCCCTCACTGAGAAGTTTTAGGCAGGTACTCTACCACTGAGTAAACCACACCCACTGTTCTCATTCTTGCCTCAGCGTTTTTTGCTGCAGTTCAGACTGCCAGTCCTTATCTTTGGAGGAAAGGGAACCCATGGCTGGGAAAAGCCCCAGTACATAGGTAACCCTGTGTGCATGGTGTGTCTACCTTTTCCCCTCACTGACTTTTACCATGAATTTTAAAAACACTGATGAAAATAAAAAGATGCATAATACTATTCCTAGAGCATGAGACATACAGAGAGATAGGAACATCGCAGCTCTGAACCCGGATCAGGGGCAGAGACAGCTTCTCATTTTCAGGAAGCACACATGAGAGAAGCCACAGAAGGATCCGAGGCCCCCACCCCTTAGGGACCCCACCTTTCAGAACTACATCAGTTTTTCCTGGGTCCATGCCACCAGCATGCCCCGTGCCATATCCACATGTTTTCATTTCTTTACCAGGTCATTTCTGCAACTCTCTGCCTCAGTTTACCTCTTTCCCAGAGCCCAAGGTGGGTTCTTTCCACCAGTTACCAAATCCTCCTGAATATGTCCATTCTCTAACTTGCAACAGAGTTGTGTTAGTGTCAGGGGTTTCTTTGGAGCCTGAAGCATACTTAAGTTCAAGGAACTCTGCCTATCCTGGTGGCTGGCCCAAAGGTGGACTAGTAATAATGGCGAGAGGCTGGGAACTTCTTCGGGGAGCTTGGAAGCCAGATGAACCTCTCCTCCAGGCTCAAGGCTCTCCTAAAAGTCCCTCTCCAGCCGCTCTGTTCCTAGTAGCAGCATCTGGAATTGGGAGACTTAGAAGGGCTTAGGGCATAGCTGGCCTGGGCTTGAGTGGCAGTGGTGCTGGATACAAGCCTGGCCCTGTCTGTCACTTGGCATACACTTGCTTGATCTCCAAAGGGGTGGCTTAGTGAAGGCTTAGAGTTAGAAGTCAGACTTGCCCACCAACCCTCTCTCCTTAAACAGGAGGGGCTGGGTAAGGGGACACTGTTGGGATACCATTCACAACATCCATGAATCCACCCGGATAGAAGTTCAGTACTGGAGGACACCCAAGTTCCAAAAAGCCTGGCTCCTGTTCAGTAGGGGCTGCCATGATGCAGTCTCCCAGACTAGCGGGCCAGCATGAGAGGTCTCTGCCTGACTGAAGCCACACCATCCGGGAAGTCGGATGTGTTCGGCACCCTGCCAGGCTGCTTGCTCTGGCTCAGTCAGCGTGGCGGGCAGCTGCCACCCACACTGTCCCCACGTCTCTCTCCTCTCCAGCTCCACATTTAACATCCAGGGTCTCGATCTTCCCTCTTTCTATAGTCACTTTAATTAAATTTTAAGGGCATGTAGATAGACATGGAAAAGGAAGCTCTTCTCTACTGACTTGCCCCCCCCCCCCGTCACAAAAGCATCAGAGATGACACAGGTCATTTCTTTAGCCTTCAGACCATCCTAGGCACCAGTTCACTCACCTGGGGAGTGACAGAGTACCTCACCAGAGAGGGACTGGGCGGTTGGTAGGAAAAGCTTAGCTGCTCACACTACTGATATAAACTGAACCTTAGCACTTTGTGGGTCAAAGAGGGCTCCTAGCTCTCAGCAGTCCGGTAAAACTGGGAACACGGTGCCAGTCTGCAGAAGAGGTGACCAAAAAGGAGGAGAAAAGCCAAACCCACAGCCAGACAGCTTTAACTGGCCTCTGACCTGGCTGTCCACTATTGGCCCCTCCCAGTTGCTGTAGGGATTGCCTCCCAAGCTCTTGTCTCACACCTGAAGACAGAAGAAGGGACAGGGAAACTGAATTTGACTTGGAAAGCCAACCTGCTCAACCTCATCAGGCGCCTTGAACTTCTGGCTTCAGACCCAAGTCCTGCTTATTAATGCCCTTGGATGCCCCTGTCCCGTGTGTAGACGTTGTTTAGGGAGTTTCCCTGAGCATCCTAAGGCTCCACTCCCCGATATGGGATCCTGGGATTTTAGTCTCTTGGGGCAACTCCTCTTTGAGAGTCAGGGAATAGATGAATGTAACATCATTGCCACAGACTGATCAAGGCCTGGGATGCCCGCAGGGCGGAGGGGCAGCCTGGGCCCACCTCCCTCCACGCTTTAGGTTCCTGCACAGTCCCAATACTAGCAGACCCTGATGTTTCTTCCACGGGCAGCCCCAACAAAACCAAAGTTGGACCCCGGGCCCACAGGGCCCCCAGTAAAGGAGAAATCTATGGGGCAACTCAAAGGTCGTGACCCAGTGCCCAGGCCCCGCCTCTACCATAACCTTTCCCAAGAACTAGAAGTGGACTGACTGCCTTACGGAAAGGATAGAAGGAAGGAGGTGGGTCTGGAGGGAACTTCAGGTGCAAGGACCCCTGGGGTGTGACCAAGGGAGAGGTATTGCCATGACCCGGCTCGGCCAAGGCCACCCGCGTTTGTGCTCCTTCTAGAGCCTGAGTCCTGCGCTCCCAACTGGGATGCAGGGGGTCTGGCACTGGGCAAGAGAACCCCTCTTCCCAGGACAAGGAGTGCGGCAGGGATCCGGCGCCTGGGAGGGAGGAAGGGGAGGCGGCGCGACTGGGGCCGCGCGCCGCAGACAAAGGCTCCGACAGGTCCCCGCCGGCGTCTCCCCGCCACCTCCGTGGCGACACTCACCTCGGCCGGCCCCAGGCTGGGATTCTCGGTGGCTGCCCGCCGCCCGCGCCCGGACCCTGCGTGCTGTGCCCCGCTCCTCGAGGCTTGGGCCGGGCGCGGCGGGCGTCCTCCTGGGTGTCCCGGTCCGCGGGCCCGGGTCCGTGAGCGCGTGCTGGGGGGGGGGCAGCAGCTGCAGCGAGCAAGCCCGGCCCGCGCCCCGCCCGTCCGCATGGCCCCGCCCACACAGATCCACCCACCACATGGCTCCGCCCAAGTCCCGCCTCCAGTAATGCTTTCCACCACCGACGCCCCGCCCCATTCTTGTGATTTCCCCGCCCCCCCGCCCCATCACACTCCACATGGCTCCGCCCAAGTCCTTTCTGCAGAGGAGCCTACCACCATCCAGACGCCCCTCCCAGCCTCCCTGTCCGCGCTCCACCCACTCCGTATGACTCCGTCCCTAACCCCCACTTTCCCTCCTATTCACTACTCCCCTAGCCCTATCCTGTCCTTCCCATATTCCCCGCCCCATTTTCTTTAACTATGCTCCACCCACTCTACATGACTCCGCCCTTGGCCCCGCCTCTGAACTGCCCACACTTATGCCCCTACTTCTCTTTGCTGTCTTCCTTCTTGTTCTTTCTGTGCCCTTGGCCGGCCCCAATCCAGACTACAGATCCCGGTCCCTTTCCCTGCCTTCCTCTGTGCCCGCCAACCTAGCCCCAACTCCATATTCTTTTTTTTTTTTTCGTTTTTCGAGACAGGGTTTCTCTGGGGCTTTGGAGGCTGTCCTGGAACTCGCTCGGTAGACCAGGCTGGTCTCGAACTCACAGTGATCCGCCTGCCTCTGCCTCCGAGTGCTGGGATTAAAGGCGTGCGCCACCAACGCCCGGCCCAACTCCATATTCTTTCCACACCCTTTCTCCCCCCTCCCTCCTCACCTCCCTTGATTCCTGCCTGGTTCCACCTTTCGACTTCATTTGCCTAGCCCCACCCTTACTATTCCCATAGGCTCCACTCCAGTCCTCTGGGCCCACTTTGTCACACCTACCTGGTCCCACCTCCAGGCTTCGTATAGGACCTGTCCCCCACCTGCTAGCTCCGCCCCATCACTTCCCATATTCCCC